AAAAAAACCTATACACATAAAAAAATAAAATTCAAGTTAAAATACAAAAAGAGGAGAATGCTTGCTGCTCTTATAGAGGACACATGTCCAGTTGCTTAGCTCTCACATTGTACAGCTCACAGCTGCTTGTAACTCCAGCTCCAGGGGACCCCACACTCTCTTCTGGCCTCTGTGCACAGCATTCAAGTGCACAAACCACACACACACACAAATTAAAAAATTATAAAAATTAAAATCTTAGAGCTAGAGGCCGGGGCGGTGGTGGCGCACGCCTTTAATCCCAGCACTCGGGAGGCAGAGCCAGGCGGATCTCTGTGAGTTCGAGGCCAGCCTGGGCTACCAAGTGAGTTCCAGGAGAGGCGCAAAGCTACAGAGAAACCCTGTCTCGAAAAACCAAAAAAAAAAAAAAAAAAAAAAAATCTTAGAGCTAGGTGTGGTGGTACATGCCTTTGATCCCAGTACTGAGGAGGCAGAGGTAGATGGATCTCTGTGGGTTCAAGGCCAGCCTAGTCTACAAAGCAAGTTCTAGACCAGTCAGGGTTACACAGAGAGACCCAGTCTCAAAACAAAAACAAAAGGTATACACACACACACACACACACACACACACACACACACACATATATATAAAATAAAGGTTTATTGGTTTTGATCATTGTATTGGGTTTTGGGTGCCCCTTAAGTCTTGTACCTGAGGTGGCTGTCTTGCATGGCTCGCCTGAGTCACCCTGAAATGGCTCGGCATTTAGGGGGATTCCTTGTACCTTGGGGATAAATCAGTTGTGTATGGTTCAGGTTTCTGAGCCTGGGAAAATATATCCAAGATATACAACCCAAAAATAGGATGCATTTAAGAAATATTTATTTTATTTATTTATTGTATGTGTGTAGGAGTCAGTTTTCTCCTCCCACCATGTGAGTTCTGAGGATCAAACTCAAGTCATCAGACTTGGTGGCAAGTACCTTTACCCAATGAGCTGTCTTGATAACCTGAAAGATTCATTTGACTCCAAGTTTTGTTGGTTTTGTTTGTTTGTTTGTTTTTGGAGGGGGGGGTTGCTCACCTCCATGCTTTCTTTAGTCACTATATAGACCAGACTGGCCTCAAACACAGAGATCTGCCTGCCTCTGCCTCCTGAGTGCTGGGGTTCAAGGCCTGCGCCACCACGCCTGACCCCTTGCTTTTGGGTCCATGGCAGACAGCACATGGTGGAGCCAGCTGCCCAGAAACAGAGAGGAAGAAGAGACATGTCCCAGTGACCTAACTTCTGCCCAAGAGGCCTGACCTCTCACAGGCTCCACTTCCTCCTGGGGGAGCATCCTGGAGAAAGATCTCTCCTTCCTTTTGGATTTTAGTTTTCTTTCTTTTCTTTTTCTTTTTTTTTTTCTTTTTTTTTTTTTTTTTGGTTTTTCGAGACAGGGTTTCTCTGTGTAGCTTTGCGCCTTTCCTGGATCTCGCTCTGTAGACCAGGCTGGCCTCGAACTCACAGAGATCTGCCTGCCTCTGCCTCAGGAGTGCTGGGATTGAAGGCGTGTGCCACCACCGCCCAGCGGATTTTGGTTTTCTGAGATAAAAACCCCAATTGTCTGAGGCACAGGCTGGCCTCAGACAATAGCAGTCCTCTGTCATCAGCTTTCTGAGTGCCAGTATTATTAGCAGAGTGTACCACAACACCTAGATTGAGGCTTTTTGTACTTAGGCCTTTGAGGAACATTTCAGAGCCAAACTGTAAAGTTACGTGCACTTCCTCACAGTGCATTTGTGCCAGGGTCTGGTCAGGTTCTAAAAGGAAGCAATGGGTTCAAGGATTCAAATACCTCTAGTAGGTTGAGGCTTGCCTAGAATCCCCCAGTGAGGGGCTGGGGGCGTGGCTCAGGGGTGGAGCCCCCGCCTAGGATCCCCCAGTGAGGGACTGGGGCATGACTCAGGTGTGGAGCCCCTGTCTAGAATCCCCCAGGGAGATCCCTCCTGCCTCAGCCTCTTGAGTGCTGGCAGGAAAACTATTTAGCTGGGTGTGGTGGCCTTTAGTACCAGCACTCTGGAGGCAGAATCAGAGGGATCTCTGTCTGGTCTACATAGTGAGTTCCAGGACAGCCAGAGCTACGTAGATTCTGTCTCAAAACAAAAAACAAATAGAAAATTTATCCTTAAAAAAAAAAAAAAATTGTGGCCGGGCGGTGGTGGCACACGCCTTTAATCCCAGCACTCGGGAGGCAGAGCCAGGCGGATCTCTGTGAGTTCGAGGCCAGCCTGGGCTACCAAGTGAGTTCCAGGAAAGGCGCAAAGCTACACAGAGAAACCCTGTCTCGAAAAACCAAAAAAAAAAATTGTGAACATAGTGGTTAAGTCTTGCTGTGGACCTGACTGGCTGCGGGTTGCCTAGGAGACACTCCTCTGTGTGTATGTGAGGCCTGTTTCCAGGGGCCTGGCTTGAATAAAGAGACTGAGAAATAAAGCTGTTCTCCAGTCTACTCATCTGCTCAACTGTGAGCCACTGCCTAGAGTCACTGCCCAGACCAGGAGCTGAAACAGACCCTTCCTGCTGGATGGCGGTGGGGGCGGAGACTCATGAGAAATAAACTTCACCTGCTTGGAGAAGCTGGAGAACCTGAAACTTGAAAAGATTCCTGAGTCCCTCCAGGGTTAGAAAAGCCACAGACTACTGCTAGGGAGGAGACTGCCCAGGAAGCTTCGGGAGATTTTCAGGCCAGCCTGGTGCCTGCTGGAGTCATTAGCATCAGCGTTCTAAAAAGGCCTTGCTTCCACACTGGGTCCAGAGGGCCAGGGGTCCGGGAGAAAGATGCTGCAGGCCTCCACTGCTCCAAATGGGCACCCAGGGGGAATGTTTCCCTAGGGTCAGTCTCGGGGGCACAGGCAGCAGCCACTGTGATCATCCTGAGCTGGTGGTAACATCCACATGGTACTGGTTTTCTGGGCATTTGACTGGTTTTATGGGATCCAAGACTGAACCAGCTGTGGGGGATTCCCCTAAGGTTCCAGAAAGCCAGGCAATATATAGGACAGGTCATATTCCTAGAAGGAGGCCATGGAGGGGCCATTGTGGGAAGCTGTGGAGCTGAAACCTATATTGCAATGGAGACCCTGGGAGTTAGTTTGTTCATGATGTGCCTCTCACAGTGCTCATTAGGCTTCAAATGGCTTCATCCACTGAGCCATCTTGCTGGCCCCAGATCCCAGGATTTCTAAGATGCCGGGACTATGAAATGTTTGTCAAAGAAAGATGTAGGCAAGGAGAGGAACTGGCCCAAGAGAGAGACTATGTGTGGGCTGTTGGTGTCCACACGGTGCTGCCAAGAGTCCCAGCTGCTGGACACAGCGCTTCAGGTATTTTCCTGGCAGGGTTCTGTCTTGCTTTGGTCTGATTTTCCTTGCGATGTCCCTATTCTTTCCTTTTGGAACAGAATGTTTAACCTGTGCCCTTGGGTAGGGAAAGGTTGATTGTTCTTACTATGTAGTCCTGGCTAGCCTAGGACTCACTATGTAGACCAGGCTGGCCTTATATATGTTGAAAGTATGTAACTTCCTTGGTATTATTTTACAGAGGTTGACAGTTAAGGGGTGTTGGAGCCTCAGTACAGACTTCTGAACAGTACTTAGATTTCTAAAACGTTAGAATTGTTTAGACTTTGAGGGGCTGGCGAGAGGACTCAGGGTGCAGAGGTGCCTGCTGCCAAGCTGGGCTGCCTGAGTTTGACCCCTGGCAACCATATGGAGGGAAAGGAAAACTAAGTCCTACAAACTGTCCTCTGATCCACATAGGGATCATGGCAGTGTGCACTGTGCCCCACACCAAATAAAATAAATACATTTATTTTGAGCATATTCAGAGATAGATCAAATGTACCTTGCATTTTGAGATGGCCAAGAGGCCCTAAGGACTGGTGCTGTAGAATATTATTTTAAGGCGTGTCACTTTTGTTTATGCTGCATTTTTAAAACCCTGTGAAGCTGTGTTACTGTGCCTGTCTAAAACACCTGATGATCTAATAAAGAACTGGCCAATGGCAAGGCAAGAGAAAGGATAAGTGGGGCTGGCAGGATGCGAGAATATATAGAAGGAGAAATCTGGGAGGAAAGATCTAGGATTCAGAGATGGAGGAGGACTCCAGAGGCCAGCCACCCAGCTACACAGCAAGCCACAGAGTAAGAGTAAGATTTACAGAAGAGAATGGGAAAAGCCCCAGAGGCAAAAGGTAGACGGGATAAATTAAAGGAAAGCTGGCTAGAAACAAGCCAAGCTAAGGTCGGGCATTCATAATTAAGAATAAGCCTGTGTGTGATTTATTTGGGCGCTGGGTGATGGGCCCCCCAAAAGAGCAAAAACAAACAGGCTAGTGTGGTGTAAGGTGTCACATGTGCGGAATTGATAGTGTGGACTAGCCATGGGAGATCTTCACTGTCAATTTGACTGACAGTCTGTGAGGGCATTTCCACTGAGGTTTAGCTGAGGAGGGAAGATCCACCCGGAACAGGGGTGGAGCCATGCCAGAGTTCTAGAATGAACTTCAAACAGCGAAGTTTCTGCCCTGCTGTGAGCCACAGACAAAAGCCCCTTCTTCCGCCATGATGGACAGGAGGAGCCCAAAGAAACCCATCCCCTGAAACTGCTGCATCCGGTGTTCGCTCACAGCAACTAAATAACGCGGGAATAGCCAGCCGTCTGCAGCAGGGTTTAGGGAGCAAAGTCGTCTGTGGGAGGATGTTTCTACCCAAAGCGTCCTGGGGAGCCAGGAGTCACACTCCATCCACACCTCTCAGGCTCCATCCACACAACCCACCCCCACGGGAGCCAGGATTCACGTTCCATCCACATCCCCCCTGGAAGCCAGGGGTCACGCTCCATCCACACACACCCCCAGCCAGGGGTCACGCTCTGATGTTCACCCAGCAGTAGACACCTCTAACAGCTTCCACCTTGTGTACCCACCATCCACCAACCCGGAGCATATTGCTCAGTAACTGAATCTCCCTCAGACTGTTGCAGTGAACACAGGAATTTTATTTTTTGTTTTGTTTTGTTTTTGAGACAGGGTCTTGCTATGTAGACCAGGCTGGCCTCAAACTCGCAGAGATCCTCCTGCCTCTCCCTCCCAGCAGCTGGGATTAACCGCCTGCGTGTCCATGCCCCAGACACTGGAATTTTTGTTTTGTTTTGTTTTGTTTTTTGGTTTTTTGAAACAGGGTTTCTCTGTGTAGCTTTGTGCCTTTCCTGGAACTCACTTGGTAGCCCAGGCTGGCCTCGAACTCACAGAGATCCGCCTGCCTCTGCCTCCCGAGTGCTGGGATTAAAGGCGTGCGCCACCACCGCCCGGTGACACTGGAATTTTTAGGCCAAACGCTGTACATCAAAACCTTCCCTGTTATGACAAATGCATCCTTTCCACGTTGATTAAACCCGATCATGCACATGCCTTAATCCCAGCACGGGGGAGGCAGAGGCAGGCAGATCTCTGTGAGTTCTAGGCCAGCCTGGTATATAGAGTGAGTTTTAGGACAGTCAGGGCTACACAGAGAAACCCTGTCTCGAAAAAAGAGAGAAGGGGGGACAAAAAAGTACCCTTCCCCCGTCTAGGGCTCTCTGCTTAAGCTAAGGATCCTTCAGTTAAATGGTGGGAGACTTCCTAAACTAGCATTCGCCAACACTGGAGCGGATGGAAAAAGAATATGTGGTATCTCAATGATAGGATAGTATGCGGCCATAAGGCAGAACATGAAAGATGGTCATTTGTAGCAAAACAGGCAGAACTGCAGGACATCGTGCTCAATAAAGTCGACGCAGAATGACAGCACCACATTTCCTCACTCATACACTGGACTTCAAAGGACATGGAACTGTGAGGACCAGCTTGGGACAGAGGTGAAGGTGGATAAACTGTTTGATGAGTGTGTGCTGCATTCATGTTGAAATATCACATGGGTCCCATTAGTATATACAGTTAATAGGTTAATAAAAATAAAATACTATTTAAAAAATCTAAAGTTATTGTTCAATGCACCTGAGCATATATTTTTAAGCTAAAGCTTAAAATGTATCTTTAAATTTATTATTATTGTTGCGTGTATGTGTGCATGATGGGGGGCGGTGACCGGCATGGTGAATGTGTGGAGTCAGTGAGCAACTCTGTGAGGTCAGGTCTCTCCTTTCACTCTGTGGGTCCCGGAGACTGAACTCAGCCATCAGGGTTGTGTTCGAAGTGCCATTATTCCCCGAGTCAGCTCACTGGCCCATAAATTTTTTAAAGATTGATCTTATTTGTAATTGTGTGTGTGTGTGTGTGTGTGTGTGTGTGTGTGTGTGTGTGTGTGTATGTGTGTATGAGTGCAGGTGTCTGCAAAGGCCTAAGGCATTGGATTCCCCTGGGGCTGGTTGTGAGCCACCTGGTGTGGGTGTTAAGAATCAAACTTGGGTCCTTTGCAAGAGCAGCATGAAGCTTAACTGCTAAGCCATCTCTCCAGACTATTATTAATTTTTTGTTGTTGTTGTTGTTTTTCGAGACAGGGTTTCTCTGTGTAGTTTTGGTGTGTGTCCTGCATCTCGCTCTGTAGACCAGGCTGGCCTCGAACTCACAGAGATCCGCCTGCCTCTGCCTCCCGAGTGCTGGGATTAAAGGCATGCGCCACCACCCGCCCGGCGTATTTTTTAAATGAAATTTGACACTAACATTTTCAGAACTGCCGAAGTGTGCATTTTGGAACCCTCGTTTGGGAAATAACTGAATGAGATATCTTCAAAAGCGTCACTTTGAAGCTGGAAGTGTGGCTCAGCAGCAGAGCTCCTACCTGGAACCCCTCAGGCAGGGGCGGGGGGCGTGGCTCTCTGTAGAGCACCTGCCCAGCAAGTCCTGGGTTCCATCTCCGACACCAAGAAGAGTAATGGCTCTTTCCGACTGATGCATTGATGAGTCTGTCTGGAGTCCCAGGGAGTGAGGGGAGCGCTCCCTCTAAGGTCTGACTGTAGCAGGGCTCCAGGCACAAGCCAGGCTCAGTAGACGGCTGTGGGCACAGTGGAGAGAGCCGTTTCAAGGCAGAGGGTCGGCAGCAAAGCAGGGGGGTGCTGGTGTGCCCTGTTGTGTCAGGGAGCTAAGCATGGTCACGACTCTGGTCCAACAGCAAGTGGAGGTGGGAAGATCAAGAGATCAACAGCACCACTGGCTACACATGGAGTTTGGGCCCGTTTGGGCATCATACGACTGTGTGTGTGTGTGTGTGCGTGTGTGCGTGTGTACGTGTGTGCGTGTGTGTGTATTTGTGGAGGCCTGATAAGACTGTGTGTGTGTGTGTGTGTATGTGTGTGTGTGTGTATGTATGTATGTATTTGTGGAGGCCTGATAAGACTGTGTGTGTGTGTGTGTGTGTGTGTGTGTATGTATTTGTGGAGGCCTGATAAGACTGTGTGTGTGTGTGTGTATGTGTGTGTGTGTGTATGTATGTATGTATTTGTGGAGGCCTGATAAGACTGTGTGTGTGTGTGTGTGTGTGTGTGTGTGTGTGTGTGTGTGTGTGTATGTGTGTGTATGTATGTATGTATTTGTGGAGGCCTAATAAGACTCTGTGTGTGTGTGTGTGTGTGTGTGTGTGTGTGTGTATGTATGCACGTATTTGTGGAGGCCTGATAAGACTGTGTGTGTGTATGTGTGTGTGCGTGCATGCGTGTATATTTGTGGAGGGAGGCCTGAGGTTAAGTCAGGAATTGTCCTTGATTCCTTTTCCACCTTATTCACTGAGGCAGGGTCTCTTAATCAAATCCAGAACTCGAAGATGTGTCTAGCTTAGCTAGCCAGAATGTTCAGGATCCTCTGTGACCTAGTTAGCTTTAACTGTCAACTTCACACAGCCTAGAGTCTCCTGACAAGCGAGTCCCAATTGAAGCATTGCACAGATCAGATTGGTCTATGGGCTCTTCCATGGGGGACTATCTTGACTGTTAGTTGATGTAGGTGGGAACCTGTTGTGGGTGGCACTATTCCCTGGGCAGGTGGTTCTGGGCCTATATGAGAAAGCTAATGATCCAAAGAAAGCCAAAAACAGCACTCTCCATGGTTCCTGCTTGTGGTAGTTTGAATGAGAATGACTCCAGTAGGGACATATATTCAAATGTTTGGCCACCAGGCAGTGGAACTGTTTGAAAAGATTACAGTGGTTAGATGTGGTCTTGTTGGAGGAAGTATCATGGGGTAGGCTTTGAGGTTTCAAAACTCCATCTCTCTCTCTCTCTCTCTCTCTCTCTCTCTCTCTCTCTCTCTCTCTCTCTCTTTCTCCCCCTCCCTCTCCCTCTCTGCCTGTCGGTCTGCAGATCATAATATATCTCTCAGTTCCTTCTCCAGCACCATGCCTGCCATGCATGCCTCCATGCTCCCTGCCATGGTGATAATGGACTAGGTCTCTGAAACTGTAAGCCAGCCCAATGAAATGCTTCTTTTTAAATGAGTTGCCTTTTGACAGCAACAGGACAGTGACCAGGACACTGCTGACCTTCCTTGGCCAGTGCATCCCCTGGCCAGAGGTCATGCTGTGCACAATAGCCTGCAGCCTGTTCTGTCCCTGCTTGAGTTCTTTTCCCTGCTTCCTTCAGCGGTGGCCTGTGGCCTGGAAGTGCCTCCCTGCAGTTGCTCTTGGTCGGAGTGTTTCTGTCACAGCAGCAGAATGAACTGAGCCCGTCTCTACATTCTGGGGCTGAGTCTGAAGGGTTCAGAGGGTTGGAGAGGTCTCTAGTTCTCACACTGGGACTGCAGATGCTTTAAGCCCTGAGCCAGCCCTAGCCCACGTGGATTCTTTTTCTTTTTTCTTCCTTCCTTCCTTCCTTCTTCTTTTTTTTTTTTCTACAGGATCTCTTTCTGGCTGTCCTGGAACTCACTCTAGACTAGGCTGGCCTTGAACACACAAGAATCTGCCTGTCTCCGGCTCCTGAGTGCTGGGATTGAAGACTAAGCTGCCAACCATCTAGCGTGGATTTTGTACATACATTTTGAGTCGCAGTCAGAGCAGGAGCTACACACAGGCTAACTGTGACCACGTGTGCCAATCACCACTTTCAGAAGGGCCAGCGTGTGCGTGGTGTGACAGACAGTCCAGGACTCTGGCTTCACATACGGAAAAGGAAAGACCTGTAACACAGGCTGGCTTTGCCATGTGGATTCTGGGCTGCAGCTGGATGGTCACTGCCATCCAAGACAGGACAGTGCCCACCACGTCCCTGAAGTCTGTCACTGTCTGCCACACAGTGTTGCTCTCCAATGGGTCACTCGTGGTCCCCACAGTGATTGCCTATCCTCCCGGAGCCAGCGATTGGCTCAGGATGAGAGTTGTGCCCACTGGGACCAACAGAGGCAGAGCCAAGGCTTTGATCCAAGGTCGTGGGTTAGGGTGGGAGATGCAGGCTGCTGCTACCTGAGAGGGGCAGGTCTGAGAACCCCACAGAAAAGGAGGTGGGGAAAAATGGAAGATGTCAGAGGGTGGCCTGGGGTCCACAGGGCACCAGCAGAGTTGGTCAGTTTGCTTCAACCAGATGAGTCAAGGCTAACCCGCTGCATTCCTGGGCTCCGTGGGCCTTCACAGTATCAGGCAGACCTGTGAGCGCTTATTTGATTTCGATTCCTTTCCCTCCTCGGCCACTGATCCTGTGTCCTGGGAGGCCTCTGCTGCAGCCAGCTGCTCTTCCCTTTGCCTGGTCTTGACCAACCACACTGCCTTCTTGAAGTTCTTGAGAGGGTCTTGCTGGGAGGCTCTGGCTGATGGGCACTGGAAGCGTTCTCTGATGAGATAGCCGTGGCTTGTGGGGGCCATGAAGCCATTGGAGGTGGGGATGATTCGGTTGACCACAGCGTGGACAAACTGGACGGCCAGCAGGGTGCCTGTGATGGGGAAAGGGCAGGTCATGAGAAAACGGGGGCACCGAGGCGGGAAGGACAGGGCAGTGCAGTGTGCTCAGTCTGCAAACACAAAGACGTGAGTTTGATTCCTAGCACACATGGAAAAAGCTGAGTGTGCTGGTGCACACTGGCAATCCCAGTGCTGTGGGGCATTCAGGGGGGCTCCCTGTGGCTCCCTGTCCATCTGGCTTGGCCTAATCATTGACCCCAAAGTTCATCCTCTCCAGCGCACCCAAGTATAGGGGTGCATATCCACTGGGCACTTTTCACCCTCATGGAGGCCCAGGGAAGAAGCCTGTGCTTTTCCTGGAAGGGTCTGCAGGCCATATGCAGAGGGCGTTGCGGATCCAGGTATGGGCCTAGCAGGGACATCATGGGTCCTGCAGACACCTCCTAAGCTGAGGGACCCAGCTAGAGGCTGGAGCAGGGCTGCTAAGACCCAAAATTGCTCTTTTCTCTCCAGGTCAGAGCCCAGCCCTAGGGGGATGGCTCAGCAGGCATGCTTGTTAGTTCTTGGTCAACTTGGCACGAGCTCTGGTCATCTGGGAAGAAGGAATCTCAGGTATTGAGAAAATACCTGCATGTGACTGGTCTGAGTGGCATTGTCTGGATTAATGACTGGTGGGGTAGGGCTCACTATGGACGGTACCACCCCTGGGTAGGTGGTCCTGGCTGTACAAGAAAGCAGGCTGTGCAGCACGAGAGCAGGCCGGTAAGCAGCACGCCTCCACGGCTCTGTTTCAGCTCCTGCCTCCAGGTCCCTGCCCGACTGACTTCCCTGAGTGATGGACTACATACAGCCTTTAAGCAAAATGAAGCCTCTCCTCCCCAAGTTGCTTTTGGTCAGGACATTTCATCTAGCAACAGAAAAGCAAACTAAGCCCACAGGGAAGGGCATGCCACACAAGCATGATGCCCTGAGCGTGGTGAACCCCTGGCACATGCACAGAGGCCAGGTGCACCAGCACGGACCTGTAATCCCGGTGGGGTGGACCCAGTCGGGGTGGGACTCAGTGGCCAGTCAGGCTAGCTGAATGGGTGAGCTCCTGTCTCAAAAATAGCAGGGAGGGCTAGGCCAACCTCAACCTCTGCCCTTCACTTACATGTGGACACATGGCCAGGTGCACCCCTATGCACATGTGCACACACACACACACACACACACACACACACACACACACACAGACAATAAAATAAAATAGGCTTTTCGGTAGCTCAGTCCCATCCGAGAGCAGGACTCACCGTCCAGCGCACTCCAGGCGATGATGGAGCGGTCCTTCATGCCTGCGAAAACGTACTTGTCGTCCTTCGAGAAGCAGGCACACCGCACCCCTCTGCAGTAGGAGCTCTGTGAAGACAGACCGTGTGACGTGCTTTGCATGAGAAATGGCCCCCGCTCGCATGGTATCTGTTGTTATTTACTTGTATTGGTTTGTTGGGCGCGGGGAGCTGTGTGCAGGTCAGAGGATAACTTACACCATGTGGTCAGTGGGGGCAGAACTCAGGTCCTCACCTTGGCTGCCAGCACATTTACCGGCTGAGCGCTCTCCCCTGTCCGGGATCGTGTGTTCTAACCCTTGCTCTACAGCTGGTGTTTGGAAAGTTGTAGAACCATTATCAGGTTTGTCCTCCCTGGAGGACGTGGGTCACTGTGGTTCCGGTTTGGGGGCTTTATAGCTCAGCCCACGTCCTGTTCATCCTCAGCTTCCTGTTCCACCAAGATGTGAGGTGCGGGGTCCTGGCGGCACACTCCTGCGGCACCAAGCCTTCGCTCCACCTTAGGCTGTGGCCCCTACAACTGGGAGCCCAAATGACTCTTCCCCACTTCAGTTGTTTCCGGTTAGGGATCTCGTAACAATGATACCCTTTCCAACTGAGAGATATCCAGACCAGCCTCCACCTGGCCAGCACCGCAATCCCGGCTCCCCACTGGGAGCGGAGCAGAGCAAACCCCAGAGAGACGGAGAAACGGACTTTTCTTTCTTTCTTTCTTTCTTTCTTTTTTTTTTTTGTTTGTTTTTTTTCGAGACAGGGTTTCTCTGTGTAGTTTTGCGCCTTTCCTGGAACTTGCTTTGTAGACCAGGCTGGCCTTGAACTCACAGAGATGTGCCTGCCTCTGCCTCCTGAGTGCTAGGATTAGGTGGCTCAGCCGTTAAAGGCTAGGCTCACAACCAAAAATATAAGAGAAATGGACTTTCTAAGGAGCAAGGTCTGTCTTCACAGAGGTGACAGTTTCAGGGTTATTGCACTGCAGGTGCCATGCACCTGTGGGTGGATGTGCATGCATCTGGAGGCCGGGGACAGCCTTGTTAGGAATACCTTCCTCCTCATTTGAGTCAGCTGCTGGGCAAGTATGAGGACCTGCAACTAATACCCAGTTCTCATGTGGTGGTGGCGCACGCCTTTAATCCCAGCACTCGGGAGGCAGAGCCAGGTGGATCTCTGTGAGTTCGAGGCCAGCCTGGTCTCCAAAGCGAGTACCAGGAAAGGCGCAAAGCTACACAGAGAAACCCTGTCTCGAAAAACAAAAAAAAACAACAAAAAAAAACAAAAAAAAAGCAGGTAGAGTGGCCCACACTTGCAATCCCAGTTTTGGGGAGTTGTAGATAGGCGCACCCTGCCCACTTCAGCCTAATGGGAGGGCCCCTGGCTCTAGTGAGAGACCCTGCCCCCAAAACAAGGTGAGGAACGACACCCCATTTGACCTCTATCCATCACACACATTGCAAAAATGTACACAGCTAGAAACAGTGGAAACACACACACACACACACACACACACACACACACACACACACACACACACACACAAAGGAGCGCAGGAGAGAAAGGACACAGCATGGATGTCAGAGCCCAGGCCACCCACCTCGTAGCTCATCTCGAACATCCCCCTGCAAGCTTGCAGGTCCCAGAGACAGAGCAGCGCATCCTCGGCTCCGCTCACTGCCAGCTGCTCCCCGTGGCTGACCTCCACGCAGCTCACCCTGCTCCTGTGAGCCTCCAGGGGGAACACTTTGGACCGTGTGCAGTCGTACAGGAAGAGGCCGCCGTCAGTCATGCCGTAGAGCACGCGGTAGTCGGCCAGCACAGCCACGCTTGCTATGGTCTCGGGCAGCTGGGTGTAAAAGGTGTAGGTGGGGCCCTCGATGGCGGGACATGGGTCCCCGGGGCTGATGTCCAGCACCAGGACGATGTTGTCATAGGCGATGGCCAGCCGGTCCTCGCTCTTGCTCAGGGACATGCAGTTGACAGCTTTGCGGGCCTCAGGCGGGGGGATACACAGCACATCTTGCCTGGAATTCAGGGGGAACACAAGCACGATCCCCGAAACCAGGCCTGTGAAGAGGAGCTTAGCCTGCTCCGCCACTTCCAGACACCGGACCTCATTGGACGTGTCCAAGGAATCCTGCTCCTCACCTGCACAGGGAGAAGAGAGTCAGGGAGGGATCATCTAGTTTTCTTAGTTTTTAAAAAATTGCAATTATTTTTATGTGTGTGGAGGTCAGAGAAAAAGTAAGCCTGTCCCACCATGTGGGTCCCGGGACTCGAATTCACGTTTTCAGGCTTGGCAGCAAGTGCCCTTACCTGCTGGACGTTTAGTTGGCCTTAGCTTTCTTAGTTTCTGACCCCTAAAGTTCAGCTTGGGTAGTGTAGTTTCCTGACTGAGCCTGAAGCTAGAAATGGACCCTGCACCTGTACGCATGCTCAGTAACCCCTGAGGCAAATTGAAGTCAGGGCCTAACGCATGTTCAGTAGGCACTGGAGCAAACGAGGGGGACCCTGAGCTCCCACAGGCTTGAGAGGCACTGGGAAGAAATGGTAGCTGAAGCTGGGGCCGGGGCTGTGCTCAGCAAGTGGGTGGGAAGGGCAGAACCTGGGTTTGCGCATGCTCCATAAGACTGCACAGTCAACCTGGCCCAGATGGGCCTTGGGGACTAGCACAGCGGCAGCATTCTCTAGCACCCCCCACCCCCACCCCCGCGCCACACCTTCGACTGGCTGTGGGTTAAATTTTGAGACAGGATGTTATGAAGCTATTTCTTCCATATTGAAACATTCTGATAGGAGAGGGGAGGTGCCCAGGCTGTGAGCTGCCTGCCAACAGAGCGGGGAGCTCCAGGCCTGCAGCCTTCCCAGTGGCTGGGTGCTGTGTGGGAATTGGGGGACACAGCGGACTTTAGTCCTGTGCTCCTGTAAGTCCCGCCGACTCCTTGGTTCTCCCAGCGCTTCTTTCTCCGATGTGATTGCTCTGTCTGAGGTGCACAGAAATAGACGCCCAGGGAAAATCTAATCACCCGGGGCCGATCTCCAACTCTTCATCCTCCTGCCTCAGCCTCCCTGGTAGCTGGGATTACAGCCAGGTGTATAACAAGCCCAACTTTAATTAAATGAAAACTGTATCACCTCATCGTCCTGTTTCACTCCCAGGGGTGTCCCACAGCCCTCAGGACGCAGTGCAAGCACTGTCTCCATTCTCCTTCACACCCTGGTGATTACAGGTTGAGTGTTCAAGCCCCCACACCATGCCAAATTCAATGTTGAACTCCATCCGGGAACTGGAGAGAGGGTTCAGTAGTTAAGAGCACAGGCTCCTCTTGCAAGGGACCTGGGTTCAGTTCCCAGCACCCACATGGCAGCTCACGACAACCTGTATCTCCAGCTACAGGGATCTGATGCCCTCTTCTGACCTCACGGGGTACCAGGCACACATGGTGCATATCATATACATATATGCCGGCAAAACTCAAACACAAAAAATAGGAAAGAAATTCCATCTACAAGGTGATTTGGGGAGGAGCAGTCTTGGGAGTTGATTAGATTTCTGGGGTGGATCCCTCAGAAAAGGGGTTAGTGCCCTTATTTAAAGGAGAGAGAGAGAGAGCGCAGAGCATCGCCTTGTTGGGCCAACCATCACAGACTCAGCAAAGAGACGTCTCTGGACCAGAAGTGAGCAGCCCTCACCAGACCTCAGAGCCTCCAGCACCTCTCTCCTTGTCACGCATGTCTGTGCATCTCTGTGTCCATGTTCGTGTGTGCACATCCGAGATTGACGTGCAGTTTCTTCAAGTCATTTTCAACATCTTTGCACATGTATGTGTGGTGTGTGCATGGTCACATGAGTGTGGGTGCAGCTGCGTGCATGTCTACGTGAGTGTGTGTGTTGGGGGGGTGCATGTGTATATGTGGTGTGTACGTGTCCATGTGAGTGTGTGTTGGGGGGGTGCGTGTGTGTATATATGGTGTGTACGTGTCCGTGTGAGTGTGGGTGTGTGTGTTGGAAGTCTTCCTCAGTTGCTCTCTAATCACTCACTGAGGCAGGGTCTCTCCATGGAACCCAGAGCTAGCAAAGTCAGCCAGCTTGCTCTGGAACCCTCTGTGTCTGCCTTCTAGCTGCTGGGATTAGAACCCGGCACTGATCTGGAAGTGGAGATCCACACATAAGTCCGAACACTTGCACATGGAGCACGTCAGCTAGGGAGTCAACCTCCTAGTCCCTTTTGCTTGTTTGTTGAGCCAGAGTTTGTGGTTTTATCTCGAACTTCTGACCTTTTTGCCTTTCCTACCAACCATGACTACCACATGAGGACAGAGCTCAGGGCTTCCCATATGCCAGAAAAACACTGCATAAATAAGCTACAAGCACTCTACCAACTGAGCTACAAGCACTCTACCAACTGAGCCAAATCCTGGCCTCATCTTGGACTTCCACCTCCAGAACGGTAAGTCCAGAACTCACCACACAGACACTAGTCATCTCTCACAAACCTTCTGCCAAATCCCAAATCGTGACTTTGTTTTTGTCCCCGACCTTGGGGAAGTAGATGTAGCTGCCATGATGGGACACCGCAGCCAGGCCTGTGCGGTCCAGAAAGGGAGCAGGAGACCTCGGCTTCTGAGTGGACCTGAGATCCCAGACTTTTAAAGATGAAGACTTGCAGGATGCAGACACCACCAGAGTCCCACCCCGGACCAGCAGGCTCGCAGGGGCACCCACGCCCTCCAGGACATCCAGCAGGGTCCCCTGTTCTGACAGACTCCACACCTGAGGGTAGAAAACAGAAGGATGGGTCTGCCCTGGAACATGCTTCAGCTGTTCACCTGCCTCTGCTGAACATGGAGGCTCTGGCTCCAGGGTCCTCACCAACCCTGGCTGCTAAAGACTTCCTGGGGCTTCAGCATCCTTACAGTACATCCCAGAGAACCCCAGGGGTCACCCTGCAGGGCCTCTTGGGTCTGCAGCATCGAACTATCTTCAGAGCAATCCTAAAGTACTGGCCTGTCCTCATGGGTAAGCAGCAGAATTCTGCAAGAGTTGAATGAGTGAGATTGTAGTGTGTATGCATGTGCTTGTGTGCACATATGCATACATATGTGTGTATTTTAGGAAACTATCATGTGAGCTGGGGAGATGGTTCAACTGTTATGAGCATCCGATGCTCTTGCAGAGGACCCTGGTTCAATTCCCAGCACCTACATGGCGGCTCATAGCCATCTGTAACTCCAGCTCCAGGAGATCCACACTCTGCTATCTCCGAGGGTGCCAGGCATGCACATGGCTCAAGATGCTCAGACACATAAAATAATAACAAGAACAGTGATGAAACTCTTCTGATTAAAAGCTATGTCATCGTGTGACCACATCATGGTGAATTCACAGATGTATGTTCTTGGATTGCTTCCTCTTTTTTATTTGAGACAGGGTCTCACAGTGCTCAGACCAGCCATGAACTTGCCATGAAGATGAGACAGGCTGGGGCCACACCAGCTTCATCTCCTCACTCAGGTGTGATTTCCCAGGAGTTCAAGGGTGGGAGGCTCGGTCTTGGGGGTGTGGGTGTGACATAAGAGGTGATGGACTTAAGAGGCACCTACTGGGAGGTGATGGAGTCTTGTGGGACAGTCCTTGGGAAGGATTAAGTAGCTGGCTGTGGTTGTGTAAACCCAAGAATGGGATCGAAACTCCAAGAGCATCCTTGACTCCCTAGCAAGTTTCAGGCTAGCCTGAGCTACATGAGACCCTGTCTCCAAAATGAGGGGAAGGGATCAAGTAGTTCTTATGGGACTCAAATTCGTTCCTAGGAGAGGGGCCTGTTACAGGCAGGCAGGACTGGCCTCCTGTCCCTCAAGTGTGATCGCTCCCTCACACAGGCTCACACTGTTGGCACAAATGTGCTGTGGACAAGGAAGCCTCACCAGAACTGGTGCCATTCTGTGCAGTCAGTCAACTTCCAAAAACTGTGAGCTAGATAAACCTTTTTTCTTTATACAGTTCCTAGCCTCAAGTATTTCATTATATATAGAAAATTCAGCCCTAACATTGACATATATATATTAACTATAATAAATAAATAGTGTTTCTATATAAATCAACCCTGTTGGGTCCTCAACAATTTCTAAGATTGTAGAGAGTTCATCAGACCAAGATGTTGGGAAACCTATAGTCCCCACCTTGATGGTCTCACCAGTGCTGACTACTGAGAACTTCCCTCCTCTGTGGCCCTGAAGACCACTATCATAAATTTTCAGGTCTGGTTGGGAATGCTGCCTGCTTTGGGAAACATTCTAGGTTTGCTACCAGGGCACAGAATACCAGCACCTCACATCGTCCCACTAAACACCCTTGTCTGGGTCTGAGCTCATCTGTTTTCTGTATATATGGACTTAGCAGGAGTTAGGAATCCCATGTCCTGAGGTTGGGGTCCTGGATCCATCCTCACCTGGATGAGTGCATCCCGGGAGCCAGTGATGATCACATTGTTCTCAGGCCCCAAAACTGCTGTCTCCACCACATCCTCGTGTTCTAGATCCGTGGCCATGAACCGGTGGAAGCCTTGTGAGTCAGCCAAGAAAATCCGCACAGATCTTCCAAAGCCTGCGGCAGCAGAATCTAGTTATGCCTCTGAGCAGTTACCCCATGGAGGCCTTTCCAGAGCAACTGCCGTGTCCCAGGGGAAGAAAGAGGCCAGAGGGGGCATGACCCCAGCTGCACGAACTGCAGATGTATGTTGGAGATGACAGTCACAGAGCTGTAGGAAACTCATGAAATTCTCCATTATTTGGACACAGAGTTAGTTCCCTCAGGTCCCAGAGCTGTTGAGTGGGGACCAGGTGTTCAAATGCCCCAGACAATGGGAGGCATTTGTCACTGGAACCACATTTACTTTCCCTACGTTAAAAAGACCGTTACATTCTATTCTACTCTCTTATTTAGTGTGTGTGTGGGGTGTGTGTGTGTGTGTGTGTGTGTGTGTGTGTGTGTGTGGGTGTGGGTGTGTGCGCGATCACACAGTTCACTATGGTGCACATGAGGAGGGCAGAGGACAGCCTGAGGAAGTCAGATCTCTCCTTCTACCCTGTGAGTTCCAGGATCAAACTCAGGTCGTCAGGTTTGGCAGCAAGCACCTTTAACCAACGAACTCTTTCACTGGCCCAACCTTTTCTGTCCTCAGTGTGTGTGCACTCTCAGAGGACAAAGGAGGTCACTGGGTCCTTCTCGATCACTCCCCCACTTTCTCACTGAGCCAGCAAGTCCGGCAGGCCTCCGGTCTCCGCTCCCCACAGCACTGGAGTGGCAGGCACACATGCAACTATACCCTGGCTTTTCCGTGTTGGAGACTCGAATACGTGTGTTTGTGCTTGCACGGCAAACGCTCTAACCACTGACCCATCTCCTCAGCCCCAGTTCCCCATCTACGCATGACTGACGGTGTGGGCTCCAAGGCTGTCACGGGAGAGCACAGGCATCAGTGCACATATCATAGAGGACGGTTCCAACAGCTGCAAATCCACAGATTTACACACACACACACACACACACACACACACACACACACACACTCCATGCGAAGGCTTCACTGTGGGATTCCTGGATGTGTGCCTCAGGCTCATCCTCTTTGAACCCCAGACCAAGCTGGGCCAGCTGGAAGCCCGAGGTTGTTTTTAAGACATAGTGTCTTGTAGCTCAGGCTGGCTTTGAACTCATTATGTAGCTAAAGATGATTCTGAACTCCCAGTCCTCCTGCCTCCACCTTCCACATGCTGGGATGACAGGCAAGTATCACTATGCCTAGTTCATGTGGTGCCAGGGATGGAACCCAGGACCTCATGCATGCTAGGCAAGCACTCTACCAACTGAGTCACAAGCACTCTACCAACTGAGTCACAAGCACTCTACCCACTGAGCCACAAGCACTCTACCAACTGAGCTACAAGCACTCTACCCACTGAGCCACAAGCACTCTACCCACTGAGCCACAAGCACTCTACCAACTGAGCTACAAGCACTCTACCAACTGAACTATATAAGTACTATATCAACTGAATCCAAACAGTCTAGCCATGGAGCCCCAGCCTCAGCTCCAAGTCTTGCCTCTGGAGAGAACTCTGGAGAGTTCTTTTTTTCTTTTCTTTTCTTTATTTTTATTTATTTATTTATTTATTTTTTGAGACTGGGTTTCTCTGTGTGGCCCTGACTGTCCTGGAACTCACTCTGTAGACCAGGCTGGCTTCGAACTCAGAGTTCTGCCTCCCCAGTGCTGGGATTAAAAACGTGTGCCACCATTGCCCGGCTTTGGGGAGTTCTTTCTATCCTAGGGTCCTGCTGTCCTCCCAGAAGAGAATATCCAGGATTCTATCTGATGAAACACACCATGATGGTCACTGCATTTGTGGTCTAATCTTTGGAACTAAATAAACGACCCTTTGGGGCCAGTGAGACGGCTCAGCAGTTAAAGGTGTTTGCCACCAAGCTTAATAACCTGGGTTCCATCCCTGGGACTCACATGGTAGAAGACTCCTCCAAATTGTCCTCTGATTTCACACAAGCACTATGTTACACACACACACACACACACACACACACACACACACACACACACACACACATCAGTCAATTAATCAGTCAATATCATCGATGCAACCAGCAGCCTGAGCCCCATGCCTACACTCTGTGGCCCTGGCCCTGGCCTAGTTCTGGGGACAAGCCCTCTGAGCCCATGGAGCCTCCTTCCTGATAACCATGGTCTTTGTTTATCTGTGTGTTTTCAAAGTAACAAAGTGAGTTCCTGGGGGAGTTTGGGACAGGCATCTTAGGAGGGGCTGGCCACCAAGGTCAGCCTCTTGGGCCGTCAACAATGCCAATGTGACCAACTCCTGGCAAATGCACTATCAGGGCTTGAAAGAGTGTCCACGGTTGGGGGTACACCACACACACTGTGCCTTGTGTCACAAGTCTCCTGGCACCACTGGGGGAGGAGAAGCAGAAATTCCTCATGTCTCCTGGACACTGCCCATGCTCTTTCCTTTGCAGATTGTGTGTGTGTGTGTGTGTGTGTGTGTGTGTGTGTGTGTGTGTGTGTGTGTGTGTTATTACATGCACCTATGCCAAGGCCAGAGGTTGCTGTCAAGTGTCATCATCAATTGTTCTCCACATTATTTTTGAGGCAGGGTCTCTCACCAAACCCAGGAGCTTGGCATCTTGGCCAGGACAGTGAACTCCCAGCATCTGGCTGTGGTTACAGATGTCTGCCACCATGCCCAGCTCTTATGTGTGCGCTGGGAATCTGAATTCAAAACCTTGTACTTGTCCATCAAGCACTTTACTCACTGAGCATCTTATTGGCCCCGCCTTATTTTTTGGGACAGGGTCTCTCACAGGCCTGGGGCCCACAGCTTGGCTAGGCTGGCTGACAGGGGGGTGCTGGGATCCGCCTGTTTCTGCCTGTGCTGCGTTAGCATCACAGGTGTGGCTGTGAGGGGAAGCTGCTGCTTTCTCTGAACTTGGGGTGTGTGTGTGTGTGTGTGTGTGTGTGTGTGTGTGTGTGTGTGTGTGTGTATTCACACAGCTGATGGTCTTGGAAACAGCACCCTGCAATTCTGCTCGTGAAACAAATCTCGGCAATGCCACCCAAGTCAGGGTCAGACAGGTTCTCACAGCAATTGTCTGGTTCCTTCAGGCTGAGAATATCTTGAGGGCCACGAGAATATATTAAAGAGATTCAGCTGTGTACTAAAGCTATACTTGACCGGCCAAGGGTCTGTCAAAAGGCAAGCCATTTATTATGGAATATTTGGTGTTATCCAGTTTTTAATATTTCAGCTGTTTTCTGCTACGAAATTCTTGTGTGCCCAAATACTATAAACCATTTTAGCAAACAGCTAAGCTTCTCAGACACTGTTCCACTAGGTACTAACTCCCCTTCTGAGCCTAGGAGACAGGCAGACAGTAGATGCACAGCTTTGTTTCTTGTGCAAATGAAGATCAGACCATGCCCTTCCTTCAGACCTAGGGGCATGGCAGAGAGACTGACTGAGGACAATAGGGCTTTTTGCATAACCAGGTGCAGTAAGGACTGGAGCAGAATTCCAGAGGCAGACACAGAACTGCATGGCCAGAGAGAAGACAGGAAGACAGAGGTTTAGTAGAGGGTAAAGCAGATCTCTTGTGGGGTTTATCAGGGCCAGGGGTAAGGAACCAGGAAGGATATAGATGGAGGACGAAGGAACAGAGGACGAAGATCAGGTTAAAAACATGGGAGCTAACTAAAACTATGAGGACAGGAAAACTGGGCACAGAGAGGAGCTGAATGTGAAGACGGAGCTGAAACTGTGTAGACAGAATGGACCTAGAAGAATGAAGTAAATGGACTAAAGAACTCAGTGTGCTTAGATTCATTTATATCCCTCAGATTAGTATCCTTAGCCGCTTGTAGCATCTGTTCTGGACCCTGATAGAAATCTCCTCAAGGCAGGCACTTGGGGGGAATTCGTTAAGAATAGAGAAACCACTCAGTGCTCTTCCACCCTGGCTCCTGGAACACACTGTCTCCGAAAGCCAGCCCGGCAAACTCTGGTGTTCCCGCTGCTCCTGGCCTTCCACCTCGGTCCCGACTCACCTCTTTTCTGTGACCCGCTGACAGCTCTTGTCAGTCAGGACAGTGTTACCCACAACCACCGTCAGTCTATCAAAGGGCCGCCCTGAACTGACTGCTGTCCCTTTCCTTTTTATGTGTGGTATGTTTTATGTGTGGTAATGTGCACGGGTCTGTGTGCCATGTGAGTGTGTCTGTGAGTGCTGAGCTCTGACAGGGCAGAAGGGGCTTCAGAGACCTTGGAATTAGAGTTACAGCACGAGGCTGTGCACCGCCCTGTCCCTAAGGTGCTGGGAACCAAACTTGGGTCCTCTGTAAGAGCAGCTAGTGCTCTTAACTGTTATTCTGAAAATCTGGTATGATAACAGAGAAATCACCCATTCATAATATTTATATTGATTTCATATTAAATATTTGAACATATTAAACAAAATAATCTATGTGATAAATATGTACTGATTTAAGTAATTGATTCTTCATTCAAATTCATTAATATTATTATTAATATTAACTTAAATAATCATAATTAACTAAAAGATGTTTATTGGGACAAGAACGATGGCTCAGTAGTTAACAGAACTTGCTGTCTTTGCAGAGGACTTAAGTTCAGTTCCCAGCACCCATATGGCGGCTCACAACCGTCTGTCACTCCTGCTCCAGGGGATCTGCTGCATGTTGCCGAGTTGGGCACCAACATCTATCACACACACACACACACACACACACACACACAAAATAAATAAATAAATAAATAAATAAATAAATAAAAATAAAACTTAAAAACATTTAAAATCTCAAGAGGTGATTATAGGTGTGTATGGTTCACAGTGGTTAAAGGTGTGTATGATGTGTAGTGGTACATGTATATAAGGTTTATGGTGGTTACAGATATTTATTATATGGTTACAGGTGTGTATGGTGGGTACATGTGTATAAGGTATATGGTGGTTACAGGTGTTTATATGGTTACAGGTATGTATGGTGGGGCTGGAGATGGCTCAGCAGTTAAGAGCACTGACTGCTTTTCCAGAGGTCCTGGGTTCAATTCCCAGCACCTACATGGCAGTCATAACTGTCTGTAACGCCAAGATCTGACAGGTGTGTACAGTGGGTACAGGTATGTATGGTGTATGGTGGGTACAGGTGTTTTTATGGTTACAGGTGTATATGGTGGGTGCAGGTGTGTATAATGAGTACAGGTGTATATGGTGTCTGGTAGGTACAGGTGTGTATGGTATATGTATAAGGATTCTGTCCTTAATTACGTCATCAGCCTGCGATGGCGTCCCAGCCTAAAAAGTGGGTGGGCCCTCTGTGTGCCCCTCTTTCCTTTCTGCTCCTTCCTTCCATCTGTCCTCTCTCTCTCCCTCTCTCCTCTCCCCCTCCCCCCCCCCCCCCCCTCCCCCGCCCCAATAAAGCTCTAAAAAGGTAACCATGGCCTCTGATTCTTCCGATCAGCACTCTCCTCCACCAGCATGGCCACTGCAGGCGGCGGCCAGCCACGAGCAGCGTGCTGTTTAACCAACAATATGGTGAATACAGATGTTTATATGGTTACAGGTGTGTATGGCAGGTACAGGTGTGTATGGTGGATACAGTGTGTGGTAGGTGATGGAATATCCTTTTCATCCTATGATTTGTGGGAACATGAACAGAGCTAATGAGCTTCTTGCTGCGTGAAATGGTCAGGCGTGGAGACAGACAGGACTCATTCTCACTCATGTGTGGAAGCTAAAAATGTTGATTTCAGAGTAGACAGAGGGGCTGCGTGATGTGCCTGGCCCGAGGGCCTGAGTTCCAGTGCCAGGGCTGGAAGGAGAGAGGTGCACGTCTGGAAGCCGGCCTTTCCTGTCCCCACCATGCGGTCCCAAACACCCAGCAGCTGCAAAGGATTGTTCCACACCACAGTCCTGTTTTGCCCTCCACATGTGCCCACGTATGCACGCATAAACACACATACACACACATGCATATATACACACACATGCATATACACACACATGCACATATACACACACATGCGCACACATGCACACACACACATACACATAATGTAACAATATTTTATGAAACAGGTGGACAGAATGGTGCGCACTGCTGGGAAGAAGAAGGGGGCGCAGGGAGCCGGGGGAAGGCACCAGTGTCTCCCTACCCCACCTCTACCCCCCGGAGCCGGGCGCCCAGCCAAAGCTACCTGCGGCGAGAACGGAGTCGTCTGCGGACACCACCAGGAACCCCACGGCTTCCGGAAGCTTCTCCAGCAGCCTGTCTTCTCCAGAGGAAACCTGTACGCAGGAAGGCGAGCACCACGCTGCTGAGCCTCCCCCAAGCGGCTGTCACACCGAGGGTTCCTCAGCCCCCTGCCTCAGTTTCCCTGTTAGACAAGCGGTGACCCCGGGCTACACTCTGGGGGGCGGGGCTGGAGAGTGTGTGTGTGTGTGTGTGTGTGTGTGTGTGTGTGTGTGTGTGTGTGTGTGTGTATGTGTGTGTGTGTGTGTGTGTGTGTGTGTGTGTGTGTGTAATCACTTCCGGTGCACGGTCTCGCACAGGAACCGCTGTTACAGTGAGGACGATGCGGATGCAACTGCGCAGGCGCGGTCAGCCTAACACGCTTTTTTGGCCCCTGAAGGAACCTCGGAACTCAATGGCATACATTCGTGTTTGGAATAAACACTGCCGTGTGAAGGCCCGACCTTGTTAGCGGCCGGGAGGGAGCCTACTGCCTGCTCGCAGGCCTCTGTGCTCCCTGTGGATGGGCCTGCCATCTTGACTGGGCCCCCATGACGGGCTGTAACCCGGAACTGAGGGCTGATCTAACCTGTTTCTCCCCAAGTTGTTCCCATCCGAGTGTTTCATCACACCAACAGGAATGGGAACCCGGCAGCCAAAGGATGACAGGCAGCACTGTTCTTCCCTAAGTTCTGTGAAGGGGCCCCAAAATAGCATGACCACACAGCTGCCATGACAGGCTTCGGGGCCTAGACAGGCTTCTGTGACAGGCTTACTGGCAGGCAACACCCAGATCCAGGAGAAGCCTCAAGCTGACCCCACCCAGGAATCCACCTCAGGATGAGGAAGTACCTGACATACCAGACATTCCAACCATTAGATAAGGTGGCCAGATGTCCGGAGTCGAGCACACACCTATTTTTGTTTTGTAGATACTCCTAGACAAATGTCAGCCAGTCAGGGTCCTGGACCCTGGAAATCCCCTCACCCCAACCTCTGCTATGATAAAAACTCTGCCCCACCTGAGTTCAGGGCTCTCTGCTCTCACCGCTGTGTCGGACAGACAGAGGGACCAAGTTCTGGAGCTTGAAATAAAGCCTCTTTGCTTTTACGTGCAGGATTCGGTCTCCGTGGTGGTCTTTTGGGGGTCTGTGATCTGGGCATCACAGTTCCAGGACATCTGTACACTTTGTGAGGTGTGCACGGAGGTCAGAGGTCAACTTTAGTGTCTCTCCTCTATCACTCCACCTTATTTTTCAATTATTTATTTAATTTTATATGTATGGGTGTATGTCTACATGTATCTACATGGACCACATGTATGCAGTGCCTAGAGGCCAGAAGAGGGCATCAGATACCCTGGAACTGGAGTTACAGTTTTTGGCCAACATGTGTATGCTAGGAATTGAACATGAGTCCTCTGCAAGAGCAGCCAGTGCTCTTTTTTTAAAAAAAATAATTTATTTATTTTTCTTTCATGTACATTCATGTTTTGCCTGCATGTATGTCTGTGTGAAGGTTTTGGATCCCCTGAAACTGGAGTTACAGACAGTTGTGAGCTGCCATATGGGTGCTGGGAATTGAACCTGGGTCCTCTGGAAGAGCAGCTGGTGCTCCTCACCGCTGAGCCATCTCTCCAGCCCCTCCACTTTATTCTTTGAGATAGGGTCTCTCACTGAACCTGGAGCTCACTGATTCCACTAGATTGCCTGACCCGTGCACCCTAGGGATCCTCCTGATTCTGCTTCCCCAGGGCAGGAATACATATTTGGGTCCTCACATCTGGCATTATGTGGATGCTGGACATCTGAGCTCAGGTCGTCATGCTTGAGTGGCTGAGCCCTCTCCCAATCTGCAGGAAAATCGCTTACCAGGGAGATGGAGCCGCTGCTGAAACCAGTGACCAGCTTTGCCCGTGTCTGGATGGAGACAGCACAGGTGGGCATCTCCTCTTTGATGCTGGACAACTGCCGTTTCTCCTGCAGTTTCCCCGTGGCTGAGTTCCACCGACTGACCTGGCCACCCTTGGACACAGTGAGCAGCATGCCCTGGGCAGCCAGCACCGCCACACAGGCCCAGGGATCAGAGGCATCTCCCGGGACACAGAAAACCAGCTTCGCGGTTTCCAGACTCCACACATTGATCTAGTGAAGTTATGAAGAGAAACATCAGCATCAGGGGAGACATGGGCCGGGACCCAGGCTCAGCAGGCAGGGTGTTTACCCAGCACCCCCAAAGCCCCGGGTTCCGTCCCCTGCACACAAACCACGTACGGTGCCTGCTATTCCAACAGGTGGGGAGTGGAGGCAGGGGGATCAGGGTCATCCTTAGCTACATAGTGAGCTCAAGGTTAGCCTGGGCAACAAGAGATGCAGTCTCAAAAACCAAAATAAAAACAACAAAAAAAAATAAATTTTTTAAAATTTAAAAAGGAGATTCCCAAGCAGGAGAGCCTGCCTGAGTCTTCCAGAGATACATTCTCTCTCTCTCTCTCTCTCTCTCTCTCTCTCTCTCTCTCTCTCTCTCTCTCTCTCGTTTTGTTATATTGCCCAGGCCGGCCATGAACTCTGGGCTCAAACAACCCACCTTCCTCAGCCTCCCATGCAGCTTGGAGCGTTCATCACCTGTCACTGTGCCCAAATGCACATGTTCTTTTGTAACTTATAAAATAACATTTGGGGGCCAGGTGAAGAAGTACACACCTGTTTGCTATCTACTCTGAGGCTGAGGCAGGAAGATCATAAGTTGAGGCCCATGTGTGCTACATGTCTAGAGCATGTCTCAAAAAAAAAACCCAAAAAAACAAAAAAAAAAAAACCCTCTTTTTTGGGCTGGAGAAATGACTCAGCAGTTAAAAGCTCTGAATGCTCTTCTGGAGGTCCTGAGTTCAATTTCCAGCAACCACATGGTGGCTCATAACCGTCTATAATGAGATCTGGTGCCCTCTTCTGACCTGTAAGGACACATGCAGGCAGAATAATGTATACATAAATCTTTAAAACAAACTCTTTTGTTTTGTTTGTTTTTGTTTTTGTTTTTTGAGACAGGGTTTTTCTGTGTAGCTCTGGCACCTTTCCTGGAACTCACTCTGTAGCCCAGGCTGGCCTTGAACTCACAGAGATCTGCCTACCTCTGCCTCCCGAGTGCTGGAATTAAAGCCATGCGCTACCACCACCTGGCAACACTGGTAGTTTTTAAAAAATATTTTATATTAAGGAAGCATTGATACTGATAGAACAAAGTGTCAATTCTAGTTGACAGGAGTTATCTATAGTGGGTCTTATGTGTGACAAATGTAACCTTGTTTCATAAAATATTGATGACAGGGGCCTGTGAGATGGTTCATCAAGTAGCGGGGCTTGCAGCCAAGCCTGATGACCTGAGTTTGATCCCTCGGACCCACATGATGGAAGGAGAGAACCAACTCCCTTGGTTTTTCCTCTGACCTCCACATGAGTCACACATGCACACACACCATAAATAAATGTTAAGATACTGGTGTTAAAGCCAGGTCTCACGCTTGGGAGGCTGAGGCAGGAGAGTTGCCACAAGTTTGAGGTAGGGCTGTACAGTGAGGCCCTGTCTCAAAAACAAATGAAAAGATGTTGAGGGCTAGGAGACAGGCAGCGGATACAGAGCTTGCTGGGTGTGCCTGGGGACTGCATTCAGGCCCTGGCACCATGTAAAGGGCAGGCAGGTGCAGCCACTGCTGTCCCTCAGCCCTTGGGAGGCAGAACCAGAGGATCACAGAGTAAGCTGGCTATGCAGACCAGGCAAATCAATGCACTCCACATTCAACAAGAGACCCTCTCAGAGTGAATGAGGAGGACTCTGGTGAGACTGGAGCTCACCAGCCAGGCTGGAGATCCCCAGACCCGCCATATCCAGATTTTATGTGGTGCTGAGAATCAGCTCCTGAGTCCCTCAGGCTTGCACGAGTGTCATCCTCTGAGCCCCCTCCCCAGCCTGTTTTTGTGAGGGTCTCATGTGGCCCAGGCTGGCCTTGAACTCGAGTCCTGCCTCAGCCTCCTAAGGCTGTGTGTCTCCATTCATCACGCCATCAGCTCCCAGGGTTATGGATGACAGGAAGGACGTGGGTTCTAGATGCATGTGGGATGCTAAGTGAGGTCATCAAACAGGCCCTGGAAGATCTGAAGGAGTCACATAACACAGCAGAATGCAGGTAGAAAACAAATAACAGCCTCATCTGAGACCCTCACATACTCAGAAATGGGTTAGAGCACTGGCTGCTTGTCCAGAGGATCTGAGTACAGTTCCCGGCACCCACAGGACAGTTCACAACTGTCTGTAACTCCAGGCCCAGGGGGTCCAACACCCTCTTCTGGCCTGCACGGGCACATACACACTGCAAAAGAGGCCTACACATAAAATAAATAAACAAAATACTCGGACACAAACATCACATGCCAGCATAAACCAGCATCGAAGAAGAAAGCAAAAGTAAAGTTCTGAAGTACAGAGAAGTGGCTCAGTGGGTAAGAGCATTTGCCATGTAAGCAAGAGGGCCTGAGTTCGAATCTGCAAAATCTGCATACAGCAGGTGCAGCATGTGTGTGATCCCATTGCTCCTAGAGGGAGGTGGGAGGTGGAGACGGAGCCTCTGTGAGCTCGAAGCAACAGAGGTTTTGCCCTCAAACAAGATGGGCAGCAAGAACTGATAGCCAAGCTGTTCTCTGGCTTCTGGGTGTGCACCGCAGCACCTGTGCCCACACATGCCCACATACCTTCACAGGTCACCCCTGCACCGTCATCTCATGCCATCCTGTGAAGGGACTGAATTCCGGTCATCAGACTTGGTGGCGAGCCTGCCGCTGTGTCTCACCGGACCACTCACCTCCTCTTCTGAGACGGTCAACAAGCCTGTAGCTCATCTACTGGGCCGTGCTGGTGGCCAGCAAGCTCCAGGCCGCCCCAGAGCCGGATTACAGGTGTGATGCCCACCTGGCTGTACTTGGGTGCTGGGATTCGAACTCAGGTCCTCACTTTACCCAGCACCTACTCTCTTACAAGAAAAACAAACAAGATGGCCTGGAGCATACAGCAATCCTCCTGCCTCTGCTTCCCAAGTGCTGGAGTTCTAGTTGTGTACCACCACAACCAACTTCTCTTGAGTTGTGCTGTACCCTGTACACACACACACACACACACACACACACACACACACACACACACACACACACAGGAGTCAGTTTGTTACCTTTGAACCAGATGTTAGGTATACGACTTTCTTTATCTCATCCACGTGGAGGTCCCAGCTCCGAGGCTCTGTGGGATTTGCTGAGCCTCTGTCCAAAATGGTGGCTTTCTCCTGGCCAGAGAGCAGGCTCCACAGGCGTAGGGTACGGTCCTTTGACGCAGAGATGGCGAGAGTCCCTTGGGCAAACACTTGAATGCACCTCACCTCAGCTGCAGTGGGCACAGTGTGGGAGGGCACGTTAGCTGGGGACAGTTTATCCTGGTTTCTACCTCTGTCTCAAAAATCTAAACAACTGGGCTGGAGAGATGACTCAGTGGTTAAGAGCACTGACTGCTCTTCCAGAGGTTCCGAGTTCAATTCCCAGCACCCACATGGTGGCTCACAACCATCTGTAATGAGATCTGGCGCCCTCTTCTGGCCTGAAGGGATACGTGCATGCAGAACACTGTATACATAATAAATAAACAAATCTTAAAAAAGAAAAAAAGAAAAGAAAAAAATCTAAATAACTGCTGTTGGGTGCCATGGAGTACACCTTTAATCCAAGCACTTGGGAGGCAGAGGCAGGCAGATCTCTGTGAGTTCGTGGCCAGCCTGGTCTACAGAGCAAGATCCAGGACAGCCAGGGCTACACAGAGAAACTCTTTCTTGAAAAACCAGAAAAAAGAAAGAAAGAAAGAGAGAGAGAGAGAGAGAGAAAGCCAACAACAAACACAAACAAAAACTTAAAAAGCATACAAGTTGCAAAAGTTTTTCTTCCTATAATACATACATGTATTTCACATAATGTTTAATCTGAAAGAAAATAAACCAACCCCCCACCCACCCCCACCCCCGAGGGAAGGCAGAAGAGCAGTGTGCTGTCAGGTGGGGACGCTGTGATTTACTGCACCTGCCTGTTCCCGTGGCGTAAATGTCCTCGCCTTGGCTGGTTTCTACTGACCTCGGGGCTTGGAAGAGAGGCTTTCCTAGTTCATTTTCTGTTGCTCTGTTAAATAACCTGACAGATGCAGCTTAGGGGAAGGGGGTTTACTGCGCTCACAGGTCACAGCCCGTCACCGTGTGGAAGTCAAGCTGGGAGATCAAATCAGCCAGTCACGTCCACAGTCAAGAGCAGAGAGAATAGATGTCCCCGAGCTTGTGACCAGTTCTCTCTCTCCATTGTTATACAATCTGGGGCACAAACCTAGGGATAGTGCGGCCCATAGGGGGCGGGTCCTCCCACCTCAGGAAGAGTCCCGAAGACCAGCCTGATCCAGACAGTCCCTCATGAGACTGTCTTCCCAGGTGACTATATTGTTTCAGGTCGACAAAACTAAACATCACACCCTCCCACACCGTCTCCTTCCTACACACAGTAGTGGAAAGCATGGATCGAGTAAAAGATGGGAAATGGCAAGTGGAGAGTTTATAGTGCTTTTAACTTTTAAAACCTCATCATCTTTGTGTGTGTGCGCATGGTATTTGGGGAGGGGGATGGTATATTGCCACCGTGCACGGAGCATGCGGAGGTCAGAGAACCTTCTGGAGTCTTTCTCTTCGTCCACCTCCACATGGTTCTGGAGATCAAATTCAGGTCACGAGGTTTCTGAGGTAAGTGCCTTTACCTAATGAACTGTCTTGCCAGCCTGAGCAGTATTTATACCATATTTTAGCATAATTTTTAAAAAGGATTTATCACTATTATTATGATTTATTGTTATTATTATTATTATTGGTTTTTCAAAACAAGATTCCTCTGTGTAGCCCTGGCTGTCTTGGATCTCGCTCTGTAGACCAGGCTGGCCTCAAACTCACAGAGATCCACCTGCCTCTGCCTCCTGAGAGTTGGGACTAAAGGCGAGCGCCATCACTGCCCAACATGCAATTCTCTACCCTCCTTGATCCATGCCTTTGATAACGTGATCCACACTCTCCATGACCCACACCCCTGACAATGTGATTTTGCAGTTCCTTTCATCAAGGTATCAATGGTCTCAGTCAAGACTGCTGTGAGCTAGCCTCTTCTCCCGTGTGACTATAATGGAGTATCAGTGCTCGTCAGGCAGACTGGGCCCGAAGAACCACCCTGGAGACCCCTGCCTGAGTTACCAACCCTCAGAAGAAATGGCTTGTGAGAATAAAATGATTGCCGAGCGATGACATACACCCCCAAAATGGGTCATCTATATCATTCCCTCTACAAGGCTCAGATACATCATGGGATAGAAAGAGAAAAGAATTTAAGATCTGGAAGCCAGACTGGAGCATTGTGGGAACACTGCCTTTCAGGCATGATAAGACCATCCCACTCGTGAACTCACAGCAGCTGTGATCCTGCACAAGGTCTGCACAGGATTGGGACCATCACCTTCTGTCATAGAGGGTGTGGTGGTTTGAATGTCATCGGCCCCCATAATCTCATAAGGAGTGGCACTACTAGGAGATGTGGCTTTGTTGAAGGAAGGGTGTCACTGTGGGGGCGGGCTTCAAGGTTTCCTCAGCTCAGGATACTGCACAGTGTCCACTTCCTGTTACCTGCAAGATGTAGGATTCTCAGCTCCTCCTTCAGCACCACATCTGCCTGCACGCTGCCACACTCCCCGCCATGAGGATCACGGACTGAACCTCTGAACTGTAAGCCATCACCTCAATTAAATGTTTTCCTTTATAAGAGTTGTCACGGACATGGTGACTCTTCACAGCCCTATCTCTCTCTGAGGATTTACAGGCACTTCATGGGGAGGGAGATGTTTTCTTCAGTGGTAGATGCATTTGCAAGGAGCCCATGCTCCTCTGGTCACCCTGCTTCTAGAAATGACCCTAATGAAGTGCATTGGTCCATGCCCTCCCACCCCCCCACACACAAAGGAAAGCAGAGAAGGGACTACTTTTTGGTTGCGAGTCTACCTTTTAGTTTTTTTCTTAATTAACATTTATTATTATTATTATTAGTGTGTGTGTGTGTGTGTGTGTGTGTGTGTGTGTGTGTGTGTGTGTGTAGGTTAGAGGACAACTTGCAGGAGTTGTCCTCTTCTCCTGGAAAGTTTCTCTCTTTCCACCATGAGGGTTGCAGGAATTGAACTCAGGTCATCACGCTTATTGAAGACTGCCTTACCTGCTGAGCCAGCTCGCCAGCACCGCCCCCTCGCTCAAATATGGCTAAGATTTTCATGTATGTGTATGTGTATGTCTGTCTTTGTGTCTGCAGGTGTCTGCAGAGACCAGGAGAAGGTGTCGGATGTCCTGGAGCTGGAGTTACTGGGGCAGTTGTGAACCCCCAACATGGATTCTGGAACTGAACTCAGATCCTTGGAAGATTGAGAAGCTCTCCTAACCACTGAGCCAATCTTTCCAGCCCCTGCCCCCAATACATCTTTTTAAATAAAAAGCTTGTTTGCAGCCACTGTGTGCGAGGTGAATCTTTACACAGTTCTAGCTGACTGATGCAGACCAAACCCCAGAGTTTCAGCATAGGGACATCAGTGTGTGAGGGTGAAGTCACTCTGGGGACAGTGTGTAGCCACCCCACTTCCCACTCATAGAGTTCACCTGTGTGTCCTGTTAGAACGTGGACCACCTGTTGTTCCTCCACATCCCACACGACCATGACGCCATCCTGGGTGCCCACCACCAGGAGCTTCTCTTCTAGGCTCCATGCTACGGCGGTGATGCCTGCAGACACATGAAGATAACAGTGAGGACCTGGGCGCCCACAGCATGGCCTCAGCCAAGGTCCGGGAGGGCCCCGGATAGACTGCCCAATTGTGAATTTTTTTTTTAAATTAAAGACTTACTTTTACTTTAAATTGTGTGTGTATCACACACACACACACACACACACACACACACACACACACACACACACACACACACACACGAGTGCTGGTGCCCACAGGTTTCCCTGGAGCTGGAGTTGTAGGTGGCTGTGATCACTAGACATGGGTACTGGAAACTGAACTCGGGTCTCTGCAAGATCAGTAAGTGCTCTTAACTCCTGAGCCACCTCTCCAGCACCTTAAAATAAAATAAAATAAAATAAAAATTAACATTAATTTGTGTGTGTGTGTGTGTGTGTGTGTGTGTGTGTGTGTGTGTGTGTGTAGATCAGAGGAAAACTTGCAGGGGTCAGTCATCTCCTTCCGTCATGTGGGTCCCCAGGATTGAACCCAGGTCATCGGGGTTGGTGGCAAGCCCTTCTACCCACTGATCCCTCTCATCAGCCCCTGACTGTGATGGGAAAGTGTGCTAGAGAGATGGTTCTCTGAGCAAAGCGCTTGCTGAGCAAGCATGATGATGGGAGTTTGGATAACAGAGCCCATGGGAAGCCAGGCGCAGCTGGACGCACATCTGCAACCCCAGCCTCCTGCAGATGGAAGGGAGGGTGGGAGAATGGGAGCTTGAAGGCCAGACGGTCTGCTGTACACAGCAGCGAGCAAGACACAGGGCCTCACCCGAAGCCGAGGGCAGCCTTCGGTGATGGCTCGGCCGTTGAGATCTCCTCCTGCCCTTGCAGAGGGCCAGGGTTCAGTTCCTCACACCCACAAGGCAGCTCCTATCTGCACATACACTCAATGCATATATTTGGACAGATGCATAAAATAAATAAATCTGAAAAAATAAAATAAAGCAAACAGGGTGGAAGGTGAGGATGGACACCTAGGCTGTCCTTTGACACCTGGGGAGCTGGAGAAGTGATGTCCACTTGCTCTTGCCTGATGTAAGGCCCAAAAACACTTCTAATTCTAGCTCCAGGGGACCTTCTGGCCTCTGCGGGCACTGTACCCACATGCACATACGTAGATACATACATACATATTATTAAAAATAAACATATAAAAATTAAAAAGGAAGCCATGGTGGTGCACACCTTTCATCCCAGCACTCAAAGGCAGAGAGGCAGGCGGGTCTCTGAGTTCAAGGCCAGCCTGGGCTACACAGCGAGTTCCAGGATAGCCAGGGCTACACAGAGAAACCCTGTCTTGATAAACAACAACAACAATTAAAAGAGGAAAATAGCCCAAACCACAGGTTGGCCAATGGTCCTCACCCAGGGATAGTTCTGCACCCTGGGATTTTGCATAACTACATTTTTTTCTCCTACATTTTTAGATGCAGCAATTAGGGACAAAGATGTGCCTGGTGTCTGGTGGTGTGGAACAGGTGTCACCATCTGAACATGGAGAGTCCCCACAGACTCCTAGGACTCCTGGTGGTGGTGCTGTGGGGAGGTTCTGGAAGTTTCAAGGGGTGGGGCCTAGCCCAAGGAAGTAGGCCACAGGAAGTGGGTCATTGGGAGTGCGATGATACCCAGGCCCCTTCCAGAAGCTGTTGTCACACAGCATCAGGGAATGCTGAGCAACCGTGGATGGGACGCTCACTTCAGTCCTGCCAGGCATTTGTCACCCCTGTGAGACTCCACAGGGCTCAGAGCATAGGCGTCAGCGTGCCCAGATGGTTTGGTGGTGGCTGCTGAAACAGTTCCCAGCAGGTTCATGCCCAAGTCAGGCCTGGGATCGGAAGCTGGCAGTTGCTAAACCAGGAGCCTGAGACAGGAGGACTGTCAGGAGCTTAAACCCAACCTGACCTATGAACTGAATTCCAGGCCAGCCTGAGACACCACATGACACCCTGACTCAGACAGACAGACAGATGGATAAAGAGCTCTCCCCAGCCAGGCAGTGTGCTGTACTCTGTACACACACACACACACACACACACACACACACACACACACACACACACACACATACACACACACACACACACACACACACACACACACACACACACACACACACACACGGAGGAGAGGCTGGAGAGGTAGCTCAGCGGTTAAGAGCCCTGGCTGCTCTTGTTAGGATTCTGCCACTCCAGCTGCATGACCACACAAGGGCAGTTCAGTAGCTAAGTAAGGGGTCTTACATCCTACGTCATCAGTGCGCTGCAAGATCACACAATTGCACATAGCGCGGTCATGCAATCAGCGCATTCGTGGCATAGCTCTGTAAACCCACCTGCACATGTGCAAGGGAATCCTTAAAAAGCCGGACACAGGCTCCTCCCCTCTCTTCTCTCTGTTCTCTCCCACGCCACAATCCCCCCACCCCCCCCAGGCTTGGTCACTCTCTTCCATCCCCCTCCTCCTAATGAAGCTCTGATACTGGGTTTTGTCATGTCTCACGACCTTTTCACCCAGTAACAGCTCCACTATATATTTAAAACAACATTGGCGCTGTGAGGAGACAGGCTCTCCTAGCGCTCTGCGTCTGGGACCCTGTACCGAGGTTTATTGGACCTATGACTGCCCACTCTGTGTTTCTCATTTGTCCAGCAGCCAGGACTGCTCTGCATTGGTGAATTTTCCCTTTCCAATCCTTCGCCATTTCCAGTGACTGTAGCCTGAGATATATTTCTCGTGCTGGACCCCCGGGGGGGGGAGGTGTCCCCAGGCTGTGTACTACAATACATTCTCTCTTGACAAAGTATTGAATGCTGTCTGAACTCCCAGGGGGTCCTCTGGTACGCAGGCCCTCTCAGCCCTTGCCCCTCCCGTGATGACGGGTTGGGTAACTTGTGCTGATGCCGATCCACAGATTACCTACCCTCGGGGATGCCCAGGATGGGAGTCTGGGATCCCATTTGTTATTTTAATTTTTTATTTTTTTCTCTCGGCTGCAGTCATGGGACATGGAGGCTTCCTCCTCTTGGTCCCACTCCTCCTCTGAGAAATGCCTTAAGTATCCCCAGATACCAGTAAATTTGGTCACATAACGGCTGCTTGGACCCTGATATTTCGTGGGAATTATCTAACTTCTGCCAGAGAACAGGCAAATGAAAAGCGTTACCTTATCCCCATGCTTTTACCTAAGCTCTAAACCCTCCCTTTCTGATTCTCTCTCTCCTGACCACATCCATTCCTAAATCTGAGTAATCTCCGACTCCAAACAATCTCTGCCTATCTGACCTCTGCTCTGTTCTCTGGTACTGGGTGGGCCACTAAGCACAGACAGGTCTGGAAGCAGCTAGGACACATGAAAATGAGTTTACGATCAGGACCCACATTGGGATCATAATAATCCGGAAGGCTCTCTAGCCAGAGATCAGTTTACAGCCTGCCTCCTGGCAGGTCTTCCTAAAGCTGTCCTCAAGCCAGCAAACTATCAAAAAAAAAAAAAAAAAAGTAATTCAAGACACGGAATAAAATCCATCTCTTGTCTCCCAGAGCTCCCTGACATTAGGGATAAACTTAAGTATCTGGAGAGCAAGGTCTCTTGACCCCACAGGTAGAAGTTTCAGCTGTGACATTTAAGGTACCATGGGAGAGATGAGAAAGCCCATGAACAGAATTGCCAAATGCTGGCACACGCCATCTGAGCGGCTGCATAAGGGCTTCCAGGTGCCTGTTTTAGAAGGCCATGAGGTTTGTGTGTGCCCTGCCAGACCATCATCTGAGCTTTGTTCAAAGTGCCACCTAGAGAGATAACAGGTCAGCTGACTGCCCCCATACACCTCGTGGCATGGGGACATCAAAGACCTCCAGCAGACCTCCTAGGCTTGGCCATGGGCTCACAGGGAATCCAGGATACAGCATGGGGCGATCTATTTCCTTCCTGTTGGACATCGAGCCACTTAATCAATCCTGAGGGAGTTTTGGGGTCCCACCTCTCCTTCTAATTTCCCTATTGTTGGGGTAGGGGGACAGCCTTATCCACCTCACCAGACTTAATTATGCTTTCAGGGTTACTTAATGGGAAAAGATATTCCAGCTAAGGTAGGAACTTTCATTTCGTTTGCTCCCTCCACGTGCCTCACTCCAGACCGGTCAGCGGTGCTTCTCCTGCTCATGCACAGTGACACAGACAGGGCCCTGCTCTCTCTCAAGGTCCAGAGGACATCAGGGTCTACTGCCTTGTCACCAATTCCAGAAGAATGAGGTCTCACTCCACAAGCTTTTCTCTTCCTAGTTCCCTCTTCTAATTAACTATTCAGCTAATTGTTACAGGACCACCATAGAGCTGGAGTTCAAGGACCATCAAGTATATCCAGGTGGTAAGGAACAGTAACAGTCCAAAGGTATTTACAGCCCCAGATCCAAAAGTATCTGGGCTCTGCAAAAAAAAACAGACTTTAATATAACCATCTATTACTGTTAAATGCTCTCAGCAACTGATCACCTGTGTCTCCTGGATAAGGAAACAGTTGTCTTAAAATAATCTGTCTCTGATAAGGCTTATCTCAGGTAAAAAATTAAAAACATGTTCTAATCTCTCTCTCTCTCTCTCTCTCTCTCTCTGTCTCTCTCTCTCTCTCTCACTCACTCACTCACTCACTAACCAATGTAAGCAGAGTGCTAAACACTTAACACTACAATATCATAGTCACCAGCCCAAGACTTTAATTTTCTCATGGCTGCTTCTTAATATGTTCCAAAATTTTTCTGAGCTCCAGACAATCCACCTGAACAGGTTAGTGAGCTCTGGAACCAGCTTGAATCCACCTGGACAGCAACTTGTCAGATGATTCCCAAAGCAGCAGATGACCCCAGGATGCCTGTCTACCACAGAAGCCCCCTTCTCTACCCCGAAGAGTCAACCGATGCCCACCAAGTCAGCTGAAAGCAGTTTTTTGAGAGAAATGATGCCCCTATTCCTGTTCACCTGCTTTTTTTATAATAAGCAAAAAGTCTGGAATGTTAGGATCCTGCCACTCCAGCTGCATGACTGCACATTCGCAGTTCAGTAGCTAAACAAGGGGTCTTACGTCATCCGTGCGCTGTATGATCGCACAAATGCACATAGCAAGATCACACAATCAGTGCATGTGTGGCGTAGCTCCAGAGCCCACCTGCGCATGTGCAGGGGAATCCTTAAAAAAGCCAGACACAGACTCCTCCCCTCTCTTCTCTCTGTTCTCTCCTCCCCTGCCCCTCTGCACGTGTGTCTCCCCCAGGCTTGGTTACTCTCTTCCATCCCCCTGCAATAAAGCTCTGATACTGGGTTTTGTCGTGACTTTTTCACCCAGTAACAGTGCCGCTATATATTTAAAACAACAGCTCTTATAGAGGATGTGGGTTTGACCCCAAGCACTCACATGGCAGCTCAGAACCATCTGTAACTCCAGTTCCAGGGGACCCAGTGCCCTCTTCCGGCCTGCATAAGCTCTAGACATACACAGGGTGCACAGACACACATGCAAAACTCTCGTTCACATAAAAATAAAATTAATGAATTTTTAAAAAGAAAAGAGAAGCCTAGCTTAGGTATGGAGAAACCAGACTTTTCTAAATGCCTTTGAGGGGGTCCTGTGCCTTTTGCATACCTCAGTTTCCCCAGATGTGATATGGTTGTTTGCTGGAGGGTGTTAAGTCATGGTTGGCCCAGCTAATACAGACCCATATTTTCTTTCTTTTTCTTAAATATTAACTCACATTTTTTTTCCACTTAAACAAATAAGGAAACTGAAACCCAGAGTTGGGGGAGCCTCCTCATTCCCTAACACGACAAGCACAGAGAGCACAGCTGCTTCCCTGTCCCAGACATGATGGGAACATGCCTCTAAGTGGTAACTTCCCCTGCCTATGCCATGACAGACATCACTAATCCATCACAGCATCACTGATTCATCTGTGGCTGTACTCATAGTCATTTTATGTTCTCCACTTAGTAAGAGGGCCCCACAGTTCATGTGTTTTTATCTGAGCATAAAGTTATCTACACCATCCCCAGAGCAGAGAGAGACAGAGACAGAGAGAGACAGAGACAGAGATTATACCCATGCTCACACAAGGAGACTATTTTCTCACAGCCTTACAGTTGGAGATGTCCTAGTACTAGTCAATAACATAAGAGTAGAAACAAGTTCTTCTAGGTGTTGCCTCTAATAGGAAGAGGTCCACCAGCCCCACCCCCTTTCCCCCTCCTCACTGGCTGGAATGTCACTACAACGGTAAGTGCTGCAGCAGCCATTGTCCTTGTCCCAACACCCTAGGGATGCTGTTTGTTTGTGCTGTGCTCAATGGAAAGATGGAAAGACAGAGTACACTGTGTGGGCTCCGGTTCAAGTGCTCCACTTGGATCCTTCTAATCAGCACAGCCATTCTCACTAGACCCTTTGCTAAGAGTCTTCAGCACAGCACCGCTGAGTCATTTCCCCTGTGGGCCTCTGAGTGTTAACATTTTCTATTGTGGAGAGAAGTTTCCTGGGGAGTGAGACGGAAAGAACTGGAGCCCTGAGTGGGTCTCACAATGATGAGAGATAATGTGAACAGCAGAGAAAAGGAGGGTAAAGGAGGAGGGTGGGTGGGGAAGTGAAAGGTGAGGGTCATAGTTACAGGGCGAGTTGGTAAGTGACTGTGAGCACCGGGAGAGAGGAGAGAGCATTGTGGTGATATATTGTGTACCCTAATAAAATTTACCTGAAGATCAGGAACAGCCACAAGATTAAACATAGAGGCCAGACAGTGGTGGCACACACCTTTAATCCTAGCACTTGGGAGGCAGAGATCTGTCTGGCTTTCTGTGAGTTCAAAGCCACCCTGGCTGGTCCGTGGTGGCGCATGCCTTTAATCCCAGCATTCAGGAGGCAGAGCCAGGCAGATCTCTGTGAGTTTGAGGCCAGCCTGGTCTATAGAGTGTGATCCAGGACAGGCACCAAAACAACACGGAGAAACCCTGTCTGGGGGTGGGGGAGCCACCCTTGATTACATGAGATTGATTCAGTTTAGGAGAGAAACAAAGCCAGGCAGTGGTGGTGCACACCTTTAATCCCAGCACGAGGAAGGAAGTAATAGGGTTGGGTGGAGAAAGGTATATAAGGCATGAGGAGACAGGGATTAAAGCTTTGTCGGCTGAGGAGCTCTTTTCGGCTGAAGCCTCTTTTCGGCTGGACCCCTTTCAGCTGAGGACTCAGAGACATTCAGTCAGAGGATTTGTGGATTTGGCGAGGTAAGAAGTAGCTGTGACTTGTTCCTTTGTCTCCCTGATCTTTCAGCATTTACCCCACTATCTGGCTCTGGGCTTTTTATTAAAAGACCATTTAAGATTTGTGTTACAGAGCATGAGTGGGGGAGCCTGGTGAGGGGATGGGAGAGCGAGGACAGAGGTGGGAGGCACAGGGAGGGCTGCAGAGACAGCTCAGCTCTGCTCTTTCAGAGGACCTGGTTCCGTTCCCAGCACCCACATCAGGCAGCTCACAGCTCCAGGAGATCCGACAGCCTCTTCTGGCCTCTATGGGAATCCCCATACATATGTAACACACACACACACACACACACACACACACACACACACACACACACGCACACACACACACACACGCGCGCGCACGCACACTCACACGCACACGCACACGCACGCACACACACACATACACACACACACGGATAAATTTTTTAAAAATCCACCTGTCTTTGCTGAGGCTAAAGGCGTGTGCCACCACCACTCGGCCTAAGAAAAGAAATCTTAAAAAAGAATAGATATAAGGTAGGAGCAAGGATACTGAAGGAAAGAATGATGGAAGGACAGATGGATGGGTGGGTGGGTGGATGGATGGATTGTGTGTGCACAGGCGGATGATGGATGGATTGTGTGTGCACAGGTGGGTGATGGATGGATTGTGTGTGCACAGGTGGATGATGGATGGATTGTGTGTGCACAGGTGGGTGATGGATGGATTGTGTGTGCACAGGTGGATGATGGATGGATTGTGTGTGCAGAGGTGGGTGGATGGATGGATTGTGTGTGCACAGGTGGGTGATGGATGGATTGTGTGTGCAGAGGTGGGTGGATGGATGGATTGTGTGTGCAGAGGTGGGTGATGGATGGATTGTGTGTGCACAGGTGGGTGATGGATGGATTGTGTGTGCACAGGTGGATGATGGATGGATTGTGTGTGCACAGGTGGGTGATGGATGGATTGTGTGTGCACAGGTGGATGATGGATGGATTGTGTGTGCAGAGGTGGGTGGATGGATGGATTGTGTGCACAGGTGGGTGGATGGATGGATTGTGTGTGCAGAGGTGGGTGGATGGATGGATTGTGTGTGCACAGGTGGATGGACGGATGGATTGTGTGTGCACAGGTGGATGGATGGATGGATTGTGTGTGCACAGGTGGGTGGATGGATGGATTGTGTGTGCACAGGTGGGTGGATGGATTGTGTGTGCACAGGTGGGGGGATGGATGGATTGTGTGTGCACAGGTGGATGGACGGATTGTGTGTGCACAGGTGGAGGATGGATTGTGTGTGTACAGGTGGGTGGATGGATTGTGTGTGCACAGGTGGGTGGATGGATGGATTGTGTGTGCAGAGGTGGATGGATGGATAGATTGTGTGTGCACAGGTGGGTGATGGATGGATTGTGTGTGCACAGGTGGATGGATGGACAGATTGTGTGTGCACATGTGGGTGGATGGATGGATTGTGTGTGCACAGGTGGATGATGGATGGATTGTGTGTGCACAGGTGGATGATGGATGGATTGTGTGTGCACAGGTGGGTGATGGATGGATTGTGTGTGCACAGGTGGAGGATGGATTGTGTGTGTACAGGTGGGTGGATGGATTGTGTGTGCACAGGTGGGTGGATGGATGGATTGTGTGTGCAGAGGTGGATGGATGGATAGATTGTGTGTGCACAGGTGGGTGATGGATGGATTGTGTGTGCACAGGTGGATGGATGGACAGATTGTGTGTGCACATGTGGGTGGATGGATGGATTGTGTGTGCACAGGTGGAGGATGGATTGTGTGTGCACAGGTGGGTGGATGGATGGATTGTGTGTGCACAGGTGGGTGGATGGATTGTGTGTGCACAGGTGGAGGATGGATTGTGTGTGCTCAGGTGGAGGATGAATTGTGTGTGCAGAGGTGGGTGGACGGATAGATTGTATGTGCACAGGTGGATGGATTGTGTATGCACAGGTGGATAATGGATGGATTGTGTGTGCACAGGTGGGTGATGGATGGATTGTGTGTGCAGAGATGGAGGATGGATTGTGTGTGCAGAGGTGGGTGGATGGATGGATTGTGTGTGCAGAAGTGGATGGATGGATTGTGTGTGCACAGGTGGGTGGATGGATGGATTGTGTGTGCACAGGTGGGTGGATGGATTGTGTGTGCACAGGTGGGTGGATGGATGGATTGTGTGTGCACAGGTGGATGGATTGTGTGTGCAGAGGTGGGTGATGATTGTGTGGGCACAGGTGAGTAGGTGGGTGACATAGTGACAAGGTGTGTCAAACCCTAAGGCCTCTTTCCCCCTGGCATTCTAGCGTGAAGTCTTAGCCCGGTCCCTGTCATCTGTCAGGGTGGCCAGCTTCACTCTACACTTACAAACTGCCTGGCATGCCCCTCCAGCTTGTGGGTCGCTGTAGCCAGCAGCTCTCCGGGACAGAACCTCAGAGGCATCTGCCAGCTCCAGGCTCATTAGCGGTATTTACAGCAGTAATCTACAGGCCCCAGGGACAGAGAAGGCCTAGTCATGAGCCAGCAAGGGAGGGTCCCAGTGGTACCTGGGGCCTCCGGTCTGACAGAGGGGAGCCCCAGAGAGCAGCCCCAAATATCTGGCACCTGGTCCCCTGGGTACACAGTGAGCTGGTGTGTTTTTGTGATGTTGGGGACACTCGCCTTTGTGACATCCAGTGAGAGTGGCTCGAAGCCGTCCCCCGGGTGGCTGTAGGAATCCTGCCAGGGGCACCAGCATTGGGTGTGGGCAGGCCCGGAACCAGCTCTGGGCTTGTTGGCACAGCTGCCCAATCATCGCTGGATGCGACGTAGCAAAGAAAAGGAGCCTGGCCAGGAGCTCGGTGTACAGGACGCTGTTCTCTGCAATAAAAAGAGGTGTGTCACCTCCTGGCTGAACCTTGCCACACCCATGAGCCCCAACTCTTACAGGACCGCAGACGAGAAGCTGGGACACCTCAACCCCAGGCCCTGTCACCCTTCCTGCCTCACTGTCTGTGTCCATCCATCCCCCTGCCTCCTGGACACAGAATAGCTGCCAGCCGCCAGGCTCTGCTGACTGTGTTCCCTCTGCCTGGAGCTCTTCCTCAAGGCAGGCATTCTCCTCCAAGGGCACCTCTCCATCAACGAGTTAATTAAACTAATTATTCATTTTGTTATTGCCCAGATCAGCCTTGACTCCTGGGCTCAAGAGAGCCTCTCACTGCAGCTCCCCAAGTGGCTGAGATCCAGGTGGACGGGTGAGTGGGTGGGGTGAGGAAGCAGGAGGATGGACCGATTGGTGTGTGTGGGTGTTGATGGATGGGAAGTAGGTGGATGGATGGAAAGGTGGGTGGTGGGTGGGAAGATGGACGAATGTGAGGGTGGGAGGCTGACGGATGGATGGACAGGTGGACGGATGGATGGGCAGACTGGTAAAGTGTGGAGGGAAGACTGGAAGGGTGGATAGATGGACAGACGGAAGAAGAAAGACAAGGGGAGTGGGAGGGTCAGTGGATAGGTAAACTGTGCCCGCTTTCAAATGCCACCTCCATCAAACTCACTCCCTGACTCCAGCCCAGTCCTCCCACCCCAGGCTGCAGTTTGACTTCCTCTCTAGAGTCCATTTGGCAGCCCTCAGCCCCCACCCCGCTCTTTAGTTAGCCAAGCGCATCATCCGCCTGGCTATCGATGCACAGCACATTCACCCAGTGGGCACTTCTGTTCAGTGTGGTGGCACATGCCTGGTATCCCATCTCTCTGGAGGCTCAGACAGCAGGATTAAGAGTTCAAAGCCAGGTTCAGCTGAATATCATGATCCTGACCGAGAAAGGACAGAGGCTAGGGATTACCAGTGGATAAACGTGCTTGCTGCCAAGCCTGATGACCTGAGTTCGATACCCAGGACCCAGGAGAGAGCCAACTCCCTCAGCTGTCCTCTGACTTCCCCACACAAGAGTAGCTAACCACGTGGGCACACACAAACAGAACATTTTTGAAATGGAGGGGGCTGAAGAGAATTCTCAGTGGTTTTGAACATGCACCCACAACCAGGTGGCTCACATCTGCCTGTAACTCAAACTCTATGGATCCGACTCCTCTACCTGGTATGGATACCTGCACACACATAGAAAAATAAAAATAAAAATAAAAATGGAGGATCAGAAACAGATCCATGAAAACCACCCTGGAGCCTGTGACACCGGCTGGAAAACACTGTCCCTACTGGGCTGCCAGGCTCCAAACATGCACGGAAATCCTCTGGGAACACACACTGCCGTAGCGCCCTCTGTTGGCGATATTTTCACAGCACCCTACCCCCTGCTTGGGGCACCACGGATTGTAAACAAAGGAGTTTTTTACAAAGATCTTGCTGTGTGTGTGTGTGTGTGTGTGTGTGTGTGTGTGTGTGTGTGTGTGTGTGTGTGTGTGCTGGGGGGTGACTCAGCAGGTAGAGCGCTCCCCCAGCACACACAAAGCCCTGAGCTCCAGTCCCGGCACCATATGAACCAGCAGTGGTGGTACATGGTCGCCATCCCAGCACTTGGGCGGCAGAGGCAGGAGGATCAGGGTTCAAGATCATCCTTCACCACACAGAGTTCAAAGCCAGACCAGGACACACAAGACTCTGCCTCAAACAATTTACAGGAAGTATGCAGAGCTTTCAGGTTCTTAGAGCCCGAAAGCAGCCCAGGAGGAGAATCCAGGACCTGGGGAGGGCAATGGGGAAGAGGAGGGAGGGTGGTGATGATTCTGCAGCTATGGAGAGGACCTAACGCCACAGAGTGTCTAAGCAGGTGACAGCTGGCCAAGTGCCAGCCTTACAGTCACGGGAGTTCAAGTTGGGTCCCAGCACCCTGGCAAAAGCCCAGCCTGGTGGTGCGTACCGTAACTGCGGAGGCAGAGACAGGCGGATCTCTGGAGCGCAACGGGCCATCAAAGACACGCCTGACACACCTATCAGACACACCCACACATCACACACACACACATCAGAAATATCAGATATACATATTAGACACAAACACATCTTATACATACACACACACACACACACACACACACACACACACACATACACACACCAGGCACACAGAAGTCAGTGACACCCACTGGGCACACTTATCTGACACATTTGTAAGCCACACCCAGAGCTGTGGCTTGCCAAACTCTAAGATTAAATGCTTTAAAAACTTTATCTTAGCCAGGCGGTGGTGGCGCACGCCTTTAATCCCAGCACTCGGGAGGCCTGGGCTACCAAGTGAGTTCCAGGAAAGGCGCAAAGCTACACAGAGAAACCCTGTCTCGAAAAACCAAAAAAAAAAAAAAAAAAAAACCTTTATCTTTTAGTGGGGCACGGTGGCACCCACCTAGATTTCCAGTACTCGGGAGGCAGAGGCAGGTGGATCTCTGGGTTCGAGGCCAGCCTGGTCTACAGAGTCAGTTCCAGGACAGCCAGGGCCGCACAGAGAGACCTTGTCTTGAAAAACCAAAAGACAAAAACAAAAACAAAAAAACCCACCCACCTTTTTAAATTGTTTGACAGTTTAATTCTTTAAATTTCACTTCATTTCTTTCTTTGTGTGTGAGTGTGTGCATGCAGACACATGTACATATACCCTGGTGCATGTGTAGAGGTCAGAGGACAACTTATGGGAATCACTTCTCTCCTCCTACCGTGGGGGTCCCAGGATCGAACTCAGGTCATCAGGCTTGGCAGCAAGCGTCTTTATCTGGTGAACCATGGAAGAGGAGCCTCCACTTTACTTTGTGAGGTAAGAGCTCTCACTGAACCTGAGCTGACATATTCAGCTAGACTGGGATCTGCCTGACTGTACCCCTAACTCTGGGGCTGCAGGTACATGCTGCTGCACCGAGCTTTGAGGTGGGGCTGGGGATCTGAACTCAGGTCCTCAGGCTTGGACAAGCGAACACTTTACTAAGCCATGTCCCAGGACCTATGCTCTTCCTCCTCCTGTTCCTCCTCCCCATCCTCCTCCTTCTCCCCCTCCTCCTGCTCCTCCTCCCCATCCTCCTCCTTCTCCCCCTCCTCCTGCTCCTCCTCCCCCTCCTCCTCCTCCTTCCCATCATCCTCCTGCTCCTCCTGCTCCTCTTCTTCCTCCTCCTGCTCCTCCTCCTCCTTCTTCTGAAGGAGGCCTGCACCTCCAACTCCATCTCCTCTCTTCTGATCTATTCTTGCTTTGGGTCATCAACTCCCTGGCTTCATCAAGTTGCAAGAACACAGTGCCCTGTGGCATTTGGCTGCCCTGGTGCCAACAGGATCCCGCAGAACTGGACCTGAGACAATAATCAAACAGAGCACACTGCCCCAGGGCGGCTCAGCTTTCCTTTGTTCCTTCCCTGTGAACTCCAAGACTACAGTGAGCTCCTCACATGGACAGACTGCTGGTGCGGCCACACTGAGGACAAAGTCCATTCTTGTGTTCACTGTCACATCTTTGTTTCTTTGGGTTTTTGTTGTTGTCGTTGTTCCTTTGTTTGAGACAGGGTTTCTCTGTGTAGCTTTAGTGCCTGTCCTGGAACTCACTCTGCAGACCAGGCTGGCCTCGAACTCACAGAGATCCGCCAGCCTCTGCCTCCCGAGTGCTGGGATTGAAGGTGTGCCACCATGCCAGGCTCTGTCTGTTTTTGTTGCTCTCAGAGTCTCACGTAGCCCAGGCTGACTTGAACTTGGCTAAATTTGAAGTTAGCTGAGGAAGACTTTGAACTCCTAATCCTCCTGCCTCAGTCTCCTGAGTACTGGGAAGCCAGGTGTGTGCCGATGCACAGGCTTGTTTTCTGTCAAGTCAGGTGGAAGGCTGGGGTTTCCTCTGGGAAGCCCCGGTGTTGGGGCTCTAGCCTGGGATTCCAGCACCAAGCTCAATCTCAGCTCCTCCGCCCCCCCATTTTACTTCCAAATAAAATACCATCTTGGGGCAGGCAGGAGGGCTCAGCGGCAAAGGCGATGGCCATCAACCCGGCCACACATGATAGAAGAAGAGAACTGAACTCTGCAGCTTTGTCCTCTGACCTCCACACACGCACTGTGGCACATACACTCACATAACACATTAATGTACTTAAATAAATAAGAAGTAACACATAAAATAAGAACCATCTGAAGCACCTACTGGCAAGCCTACGAGATCCTTCCTGCCCGGACGAAGGGGTAATTTTTATAAAGCTGCACAAGGTGGCTCACACACACCTGTAGTCACAAAACCGAGGCAGGGGCATCACAGCTTTGAGGCCAGCCTGAATTACAGAGTGAGAGTCTGTCTTGAGAGGAAGGAAAGACAATCTTCATAGAGCATGAGCTTCTCTCCTGTGTGTGCACACATGTGCGTGGTTTTGCTCAAGCAGGATCTCACACCATAGCTCACACTGGCCTGGAACTTACTATGTGGTCCAGGCAAGCATCGAATTTGCAATAATTCTCCAGCCTCAGTTTCCTGAGGTCTGGGAAAACAGGTGCATCTGCCCCATAGCCTACAGTGATTATTCTGTGTGTGTTGTATGATCATGTGTGCATGCTACATGTGTGAAAATATGCATGCTCTTGTGTGTATGTTCACGTGTGCATGTCTCTGTGTGTGTGCTCATGTGTACACATTTGCATTCCTGTGTGTGTATGCTCAGGTGTGTCGTGTGTGTGCATGTTTATGTGTGCATGTGTGCAGCTTGTATGTGTGTGCTCATGTGTTCATGTTTGCATGCTCATATGTGTGCATGTGTGTGCATATGTATGTGCACATGTGTGTGGTGCCAGAGGTCACCATCAGGTGACTTTCCTTGATTCTGGTATCAGGATCTCACTGACCCTGGAGCTCACAGGTTCAGCTGGCCAGCAAGACCCAGTGATCCTCCTGCCTCCACTTGACCCCCAGCACTGGAATTGCAGATGTACAGCCCCACAGCTGGCTTTTTACCTGAGTGCTGGGGATCTGAAGTCAAGTCCGATTCTCACGACAAGCCCTTTGCTGACTGAGCCGTCTTCCTGACCCCTGTGATTATTCTCATCTATTCCATCAATTAAAAACCTATGAAACAGCCGGGTGGTGGTGGCACACGCCTTTAAACCCAGCACTGGGGTGGCAGAGGCAGGTGGATCTCTGTGAGTTTGTGGCCAGCCTGGTCTACAGAGTGAGTTCTGGTACAGCCAGGGCTACATAGAGAAACCCTGTCTTGAACAACAAAAAAAGAAAAAAAATTCATGGGACTTATTTTTCTCTCCTGTCACTTAAATTTGGTTACAATTCTATTTCCCTGAAATACTTCCTGTCTGGGCTTGTCTAGAGGAAAATGTGGGTCCAGAGGGACAGCACTGGTTTTTCAGATTTTGTCCCAACGTTCTTCCTGACTGCATTGCAAATTCTACAAGTTAGTAGACAAGAGAGTGACACAGTGGGTGGGTAGACAGAGACACACAGAGGTGGGAGGGTGGGGGGATGGGTGGGGGGGATGGGTAAATGATGCATGAATGGAAGGTGGGGATTGATGGGTAGATGGGCCAGGCGGTGGTGGCACATGCCTTTAATCCCAGCACTGGGAGGCAGAGGCAGGCGGATCTCTGTGAGTTCAAGGCCAGCCTGGTCTACAGAGTGAGATCCAGGAAAGGCGCAAAGCTACACAGAGAAACCCTGTCTCAAAAAACAAACAAACAAACAAAGAAACAAAATGATGGGTAGATGGATAGACAGGTGGATGGATGGATGGATGAGTAGATGAGTGAATCATTGACAGATGGAGGCATAGGTTGGTGAAAAATCAACTTGCAGTTCCCTGGGTTTCTGAGGTTTCTGGAGAGCAGTGCAGAGTATACCCTCCTGTCAGGCCAGGACACTCACCCATGCCCCGGAGCTCCACAGCAGGGCGGCACAGCTGGAGGGCTTCTCTGACCAGACCGACCTCAGGAGAGTCCATGTGAGGGGCACACATGTCAAAGTCATCCAGCAGGTCCTCAATGCCCCCAGAGATGCCCCGGCAGGAGATCCAGCTCATGTTCCCTGTGGAGGACAAGGAATGAGGAATGTAGGGGCCCTTGCTTACTGCTGGCTCATTCTGTGGGTACGAGAATGGCCGCCCTTTCTCCCTGAGGTTCTTGAACTCTGAAGTTCTGGCACTGAAGCTGATGGTTTCTGTGATGGGCACTGAGCTGTGATTGATAGAACATGACCTGGCCTCCACCCCAGATGCTGCCAACACCTCAGAAATATCTCCAGGATTTGCCAAGTGTCTCCTGGAGGAAGAATGTCCTTTGAAAATCACAGGTATGAGTGTGGGTGGGAAAATAAGTGGATGGAATAGATATGCAAACAACCATTCATCCACCCATCCATCCACTCATCCATCTTTCCATCCGTCCATCCATCCATCCATCCATCCACCTGTCCATCCACCAGTCCATCCATTCTTCTACTAGTCCACCCATTCATGCACTTATCTACCTACCAACCTACTCATCCATCCATCTATTCATCAATATATACATACACCCAGCTATCATTCTATTAATCCATTTATCGATCTACTCATCTATTCATATACCTGTCTATCTGTCCATCCATCTATATCTATATCCACTCATCTATATATCAATTTATCTATCCATTCATTTATCTGCCACACCTTTATTGGCTTAACTCTGTAGTTTTCCCTTCAGTGCCAACTTCCATTCACCCATCCTTACACACCTCAATCTCTCATCCATTCATCCAGCTTTCTGCCCATTCATCTATTCATCCATCTGTCCACCTTCTCAAAGGAAGAATGTCCTTTGAGAATCACAGGTATGCGTGTGTGTGTGTGTGTGTGTGTGTGTGTGTGTGTGTGTGTGTGTGTGTGTATGGATGGGTGGGTGGATGAATGGGTGGATGGATGGATGGATGGATGGGTGGATAGATGGGTGGGTGGATGGATGGATGGATGGTTGGGTGTATGGATGGATGAGTGAATGAGTGTGTGGGGGACATCTATGACAACCCTTACCCAGCACCTCCTGCTTCAGCTCCTCCATGCGGCCCGCGTGCAGCAGATGGAAGGGCAGTTCTGTCAGCTTCCTCCGGTTGGCGACTGTACCTGAGAACCACAGTGGCTGCGGGGCCACCTGGTGGAGGTGGGGAGGGAGGGGGATGAGCTTGGGCTCGAACTCAAGTACTTTCCTTCACTCCATGAACACTGGCCAAGCTGGCACCATGTGGTGCTGAGGGGACGGGAACATAGTGGCCAACAGAGCTACCCACCACCCCACAGCTGGGCTGGGCCAGATGGAGGGACCGGGGCTTGAGCATTTCAAGGATGAGGCATGGCAGGGAAACGGGAAAGTTCTCCTGAAGGTGGGACATCGGAGCTGGGCCTTGGAGGACAAGTAGGAGTCTGGTAAAATACATCAGAGCAGTGACATTGCTGGGCACAGAACGGCGTCCAAGCTATGGACGCCAAGGCACACGTGGAAGGACCAGGTGGAAGTGCATGCGAGGCTGACAGGGGTGAGGGCGTGCTGCTCTTTGGTCTCTTCTGTGTGTGCCCCAGTGTGTGTGTGTGTGTGTGTGTGTGTGTGTGTGTGTGTGTGTGTGCGTGTGTGTGCATTCGGTGCACACGTGTGCATGCACAGAACAGAGGTAGATATCACAACTCTTCCTCAATTGTGCTCCACGTGACTTTTTGAGACAGGCTCACACTGAACCACATCAATTGTGGTAAACAGACTGGCCATCTAGCCCCAAACAGCCACCGAATTCCCTACCACAGGCTTTTTGTTTTGTTTGAGACAGGGTATCACTATACAGCCCTGGCTGTCCCGGAACTCACTCTGCTGACCAGGCTGGCCTCAAACTCACAGAGACCCACCTGCCTCTGCCTCCCGAGTGCTGGGATTAAAGGTGTTTATCCCAGCATGCCTGGCCATGTCTGCCTTTTTATTTAAGGTTTCTTTTATTTTATGTATATGGGTGTTTTGCCTACATGTATGCCTGTGCACCACATGGGTATAGTGTTCATGGAGGCCAGAAGAGGGCATTGGATTCCCTGGAACTGGAGTTACAGATGTGAGCAGCCATGTAGGTGCTGGGAATCAACCCTGGATCCTGGGCAAGAGCATCCCGTGCTCCTTTTGTTTGTTTTTGGTTTTTGAGACAGGGTTTCTCTGGGTAGCCCTGGCTGTCCTGGAACTCTCTCTGTAGCCCAGGCTGGCCTCAAACTCACAGAGATCCTCCTGCCTCTGCCTCGAAAGTGCTGGGATTAAAGGCGTGCGCCACCACAGCGGGGCTGCAGCAGAATGCTCTTAACTGCTGAGCCATTTCTCCAGTGCCTGGTTTTTTTATGTGGGTTCAAATATTCAGCCAAGATGCAAGTCTTCATGTAAAGAAGAGTCACAGCTCTGTCCTCAGGTGCAGCCGAGGAGATGCCTGTGGACAACGGGGAGGCTGTACCTTCCCAGCTGAGCAGCTGACACGGTGGGATGTGGAAAGTCTTCATCAAGTCCCGGTGCTGATTGACATTTTGATTTTAACCTCATCAATGGCAAGAGGGCTACACCCCATAAATACTTAGTGCACACACCCACCGTGTCTCCTGAGCCCTGAACCCAGAATGACATTCTGGGGCTAAAGGAGCACCTTGAAGCTGTGGAAGAGGCCTGAAGTGGCTTTGGAGGGTGTTTTGAGTGGCAGAGAAGGAAAAGGACAGTCATATCAGGGGATGCTCTGGGAATGGAGTGGCAGGTGGCCTCACCTTGCGGTCCAGGTTTAGGGGCTTCCCCACGAGTGGCAAGGTGATGAGTTTCTTGGTGCCCTGGCTCCAGGCTCCAGAGAAGAATTCAGCTAGCATACCATGTCTCTTGGATCTCTCAGGCCCAGACAGGTATCGAACCCGGATCACCTTGGACAGCTGTCTGTGGAGAAAGGGCACAGGCTGGTGGCCCAGGGGACAGTGCAAATGCAGAGGCTGTCTGTCCACTCCATGTCCTGTTTTCACTTAACACTGGTCTCTGAAATGGCCCTGCTTTTTTTTTTTTTTTTTTTTTTTGGTTTTTTCGAGACAGGGTTTCTCTGTGTAGCTTTGCGCCTTTCCTGGAACTCACTTTGGAGACCAGGCTGGCCTGGAACTCACAGAGATCCGCCGAGCTCTGCCTCCCGAGTGCTGGGATTAAAGGCGTGCGCCACCACCGCCCAGCTGCCCTGCTTTTTTATTTCTCTTTTTTCCCTTAAAAAGTTTTGCCTCTGGCTGGGTGGTGGTGGCACATGCCTTTAATCCCAGCACTCGGGAGGCAGAGGCAGGCGGATCTCTGTGAGTTCGAGGCCAGCCTGGTCTACAGAGCAAGATTCAGGACAGGCACCAAAACTACACAGGGAAACCTTGTCTCAGAAAAAAAAAAAAAGTACATAAAAAGTTTTGCTTCTGAGGGCAATGAGATGGTGCAGTAGACAGAGGTGCTTGCCACCAAGCCTCGTGGTCGGAGTTCAATCCCTGCCTCTTACATCGCAGGAGAGAACTGACTCCCACAGGTCGCCCTCTGACCTCCACACACACACCAGGGCACACACCCACACCTACATGCATACAGACATAATAAGTAAATGTAAAAAAGAACCTTTGATCTGGTGTGGCGGGTGGCACAAGACTGTCACTGTAGCTCCTCAGAGGCAGGAGGGTCACAAGCTGAAGCCATGCGTGGCTAGGCTGAATTGGGAGCTCAAAACCAGCCCGGGCAACTTAACAAAACATCACAGCAAATCAAAAATGAAAAGAGGCTGGGAAGGCGGCTTAGTGGATAAAGTGCTCACTCTGCAAGCATAAGGATCTGAGTTCAAACCCCAGCACACACGTGAAAGCCTGGTGAGGCGGGAAGCACCTGCAATCCCAGAGCTCGAGAGCGAACAGAAACAGCGGGAGTCTAGGAGCCAATATGGCTGAATTGGTGATCTTCAGGTTCAGTGAGAGACCCTCTCTCCAAATACAAGGGTGACAGAAGTCAAACCTGAGGTTAACATCTGTCCTTCATAAAGGCACACATAGGTGAGGGCACCACAGACAAATGCATAACACACACACACACACACACACACACACACACACACACTGAAAAAAAGGTTTGGAGTGTGGCTCAGGGTGGAGGCCCTGCCTAGAATCCCCCAGTGAGGGGCTGGGGGCGTGGCTCAGGGGTGGAGCCCCGCCTAGGATCCCCAGTGAGGGGCTGGGGGCGTGGCTCGGGGTGGAGCCCCGCCTAGAATCCCCAGTGAGGGGCTGGGGGTGTGGCTCAGGGTGGAGCCCTGTCTAGAATCCCCAGTGAGGGGCTGGGGGCGTGGCTCAGGGGTGGAGCCCCGCCTAGGATCCCAGCGAAGGGCTGGGGGCGTGGCTCAGGGTGGAGCCCCGCCTAGAATCCCCCAGTGAGGGGCTGGGGGCGTGGCTCAGGGGTGGAGCCCTGTCTAGAATCCCCCAGTAAGGGGCTGGGGGCGTGGCTCAGGGGTGGAGCCCCTGCCTAGAATCCCCAGTGAGGGGCTGGGGGCGTGGCTCAGGGGTGGAGCCCCGCCTAGAATCCCATAGCACCTCACACAACATTCAAACAAACACACAAAACAGACAAATTAGGTATGTATAGTTAACACTGGGACTGGTTTGTGCTAGATTGCCTGAATACCCCAAAAGAGGAAGTCAAGGATTTGCTTGGGAGCCTTTGCTCTCAGGGTCCCACACAGAAAGTGTCCCTTCTCAGGGCCTACCTGTGCGCGATGGCCAGCAGCGTGCAACCATCCACGGGCCTCCTAGTCAAGCAGTGTCCCAGGTCCCGGCGGAGCCGCACCCACAGCAGGGGTGGGAAGCGCAGGAGCTCCTTGCTGGGCGGTGTCCAGTCCCGGTACACGACCTGCAGGACCTCATCATCCAAAGACAATACGTCCTTCAGCTCCGCCTCCGAGAGGCCGTACCTGTGGAGTGAGGGGACACAGCACACTGTGATGGCCCTGTGATGAGGATGCGCAGGGACCGTGTGTGCAACTTCTGACAGGGAACCTCCAGCACAGACCACTGCAGATGACCCCCCTTCGCACACAGCTGCAGAGTCTGCACAGGCCACTCTCCAGGCTCGGGGTGGGGTGAGGGGGTGTCAGTGGGACATGGTGACATACCTCTGTCATCCCAGCACAGGGAGGGAAGTGCAGGCAGGAGGATCTGGCGCTCCAGGTCATCCTTGGCTACATAGTGAGTTCCAGGACAGCCTGGGCTACATGAGAGTCTGTCTTAAATTTTTTTCAAAAGGGATGAAGAGCAGGGCATTGGTGGAACTCACCTTTATCCCAGCACTCAGGAGGCAAAAGCAGGCAGATCTCTGAATTCAAGGACAGCCTGGTCTACAGAGAGAGTTCCAGGACAGCCAGCGCTACACAGAGAACCCTGTCTTAACAAACCAAAACCAGCCGGGCAGTGGTGGCACATGCCTTTAATCCCAGCACTCGGGAGGCAGAGCCAGGCGGATCTCTGTGAGTTCGAGGCCAGCCTGGTCTCCAAAGCGAGTTCCAGGAAAGGCACAAAGCTACACAGAGAAACCCTGTCTCGAAAAACCCAAAAAAAAAAAAAAAAAAAAAACAGGCTGGAGAGATGGCTCAGTGGTTAAGAGCCTGTCAGAAGGGATGGAGTTCAAGTTTGCAAGTCAGGTTGCTCACAGCTACCTGCACCTCCAGCTCCTGGGGATCTGATCTGCAGTGAGGCACACAGACATGGACATACCTACGTGAATAAATATTTTAGAGCAGGGTGTGGTGGCACATGTCTTTAATCCCAGCACTTGGGAGGCACAGGTAGACCAATCTCTGTGAGTTCAAGGCCAGCCTGATCTATGTAGCAAGTTCCAGGACAGACAGGGCTATGAAGAAGGACCATATTTCAAAAAATAAATAAAAATAAATAATAAAAAGGCTAAAGCTGACATAGATGGACATATACATTTAGCATGCACAGAACACATGTGTTCATTATATGGCATCTATAGTCCATATTATGTCCGTGTCAGGCATAGATTGTAGAACTTACTGTATTGGGCTGAGAATGTGGCTCAGAGGGCAAAAGGCATCAGTTGCCAACTCTAACAGTCTAGTTCAATCTCTGGGACCCACATGGTGGAAGGAGAGAACTGACTCCTGTAAGTAGAAGCAGGTGGATCTCTGTGAGTTCAAGGCCAGCCTGGTCTACAAAGTGAGCTCCAGGCCAACCAGGGCTACATAATGACATCCTGTCTCAAAAAACCTACAGTTTGAGGCTGGAGAGATGGCTCAGTGGTTAAGTGGTTAAGTGTTCTTCCAGAGGTCCTGAGTTCAATTCCCAAAAACTACATGGTGGCTCACAACCACCCGTAATGAGATCTGGCATACGTGCAGACAGAACACTGTATACATAATAAATAAATAAATGTTTTTAAAAACCCTAAAATTTGTTGTACTATATTAATATATTAATAGTTGGATTAGTCCTATATTAGTATTACCAACATAATATGTTAAATATAATAATATATTAGGAATATAGTATGTTGAGTATAATATATTACTATGATACCAATATAATGTCAGTTATGTTCCCACATTATGCCATATTAATAATTTTATATTGCTCACATTATACTATTCTGCTACATGAAAATGTCACTGATAAATTCATACCAGCCACATAATTACTGTGTCATCTCTGCTTGTGAATTTCATGGAGTTCTATGTTACATGTATGTGCATGTATCTCTCTGGGGTACACTGACTATAGTCTTACTCTAGACTTCTGAGCAGAGCCCCTGAACCACTCACGGATGCCAAGGACAGCTCTTGCCCTGTAAGTGACGGTACCTGCAGACTCTGTCACGACTCCCCCAGGGCTGAATGTTCTGCAGTGAGGATCTCATTTTTTTTCTTTTACAGATTTATTTTATTGTGAGTTCCATGTGTGGGTGTCTTAGACTGCTTTGGCTTGTGATAAAGCACTGACCAAAAGCAACTTGGGGAGTAGTGAGACACGGTGGCGCACACCTTTAATCCCAGCACTTGGGCGGCAGAGGCAGGCGGATCTCTGTGAGTTCGAGGCCAGCCTGGTCTACAGAGCAAGTTCTAGACCAGCCAAGGCTACAGAGTGAGACCTTATCTAAAAAACATAAAGGAAAAGAAATGCAACTCAGAGAGGAAAATGTTTGCTTCCAGGTCACGGTTCATTCCCGGGAACCAGGGCAGGCGCTCAAGGCAGGTACCCGAAGCCCAGGGCTGGCACCGCCCACAGTGGACTGGACCCGCCTGTCAATCAGGAATTAAGAAAATGCTCCACAGACTTGCCCATCGGCCACTTGGACAGGGCAATTCTTCGCCTGGGGTTCCCTCTGCTGGAGTGTGTCAGACTGACCACCAAGATCAGCCACTCAGTATGTGAGCGCAGTACCCTCGAGCACCAGGAGACGGCGTCGGGTTCCGTGGTGCTGGAGTTCATGTGGCCTTGAGGACTTGGGTGCTGGGAACAGAAGCTGGGTCCTCGTATGAGCAGCCAGTGCTCTTAACCATTGAGCCATCTCTCCAGTCCAGGGACCTCTTTCTTTGAGTCAGCTCTGCCTTGTGAGCACATCTTTTTCCACCACCCTGCGCTTTACCATGGGAACAAGGCATGTTCTCGTGGAGGTGCCTGGACTCTGATCGCCCTTCAGGGGCCGCCTGCCACACTCCCTACCGGTGTGAGCCTTGGCCCCTTAAGGCACCTTAAGGCACCAGTTAGTTTCTGTCTCCCTGAATTTGGGTATTGGAACAACAAACCAGGAGAACAGTGCCTGGTCCCCAGCTCATGAGCTCACAGGTCCCCCGAAGCTCAGGGGCAGAGAGAGGGCAGCAGACTCGCCGGTGTTCAGAGACGCGAATCCACAGAACCTTCCAATTTCAATAACAACTTGGTTTCTTCCGCGCAGACTTGGAGCACTGTTGGCCCCACGGTGTCTCATGCAGAGACAATCAGCCCGTCTGGGATCTGGGGTTCAATATGCATTCTAGGGTACATCCCTGGAACCAGCTGGAAGGCGGTACCCGCACCTTCGTGATGGAATGACGCTCTTGCTTCTTCGTGTTTGTTTACTGTTGTTTGAGACAAGGTTTTGCTCTGTAGCTCAGGCTGGCCCAGAACTCACCAACCTCCTAGCTTAGCTTCCCAGGTGCTGGGGTGACAGGTATGCACTGTCATGCCTGGCACCCTGAGTTCTTTGATTTTACTTCTCTCCATTCTTTGTGCATGTGTATGTTGTGGGGGTTGGGGGGAAGGCACATGTGTATGATGTGCACATATGTAGGCCTGCATGTGGGAGCTCAGGGTTCATGACAGAAATCATCCTCAATGGCTTGTCCACCTTATTCACTGAGATGGGTTCTGTCAATCAAACCCAGAGCTCACCAGCGTGGCTAGTCTTGTCAGCCAGCTTGCTCTGGGGATCCCATCAGCGACTTCCAACCACAGGTGGGCCACCATGCCCACCGGCATTTGTGTAAGTCTAGGGATCCCAACACTGCTCTTTGTGCAAGTGCGTTCCCCACTGAGCCACCTCAGCCTCCAGGACCTTATCTATTCATGATGGTGAGTGGATTTGTTTCACACATACACAGGTTCATACACACACATGTGAACTCACCCACATGCACTCTCACACAACCATGCATGCATGCATGCACACACATGCACACACACCCCAGCTGGGCTGATCACTGCCATTTTGAATTTCTAGTGATAAAGACCCGAAAGGGCACAGTCCAAGAATGAAAATGTCTCAACGTCAGAGATGGCGACTCACACACTAAATAAATAAAGACAGCCCCCAGAGACTGTTCTGCGTTTATCTCCGTATGAGACATCTACAAAACGTCGGTTTACTGTGGAGTGGGAAAAGGCCCTCACCAGAACTCAACCATTGCCAGCATCTAGATCCTGCCACCCTGTCCACAAGATACCAGGAGACCTAGAGTCGGCTGCCGGAGCCCCTCTGTGGAATTGTTTAGTATCTACGGAGAACCTGAGCCCACAAGCAGACCCAAGTCCTCACTCCATGAAACAGAAAATCCCACCCTGTGCACTTGGTGTGGTCACACACAGTCTGTTTATTTGATGTGCATGTGTGTTTTGCCTGCATGAGTTTATGTGCACCACACACTTGCCTGGTGGCCACAGAGGCCAGAAGAGGGCATCAGATACCCTGGAACTAGAATTACAGATAATTGTGAGCTGCAAAATACAGGGACCAAACCCTGGTCCTCTGTAAGAGAAGCGTGTGCTCTTAACCCCTTAGCCATCTCTCCAGCCTGTTTATCTATCTATCTATCTATCTATCTATCTATCTATCTATCTATCTCTCTATCTGTTATTTATTTATGCATTTATTTATTCTGAGACAACGTCTCATGTAGCCCAGGCTAGCTTCAATCTCTTTCTTTCTTTCTTTCTTTCTTTCTTTCTTTCTTTCTTTCTTTCTTTCTTTCTTTCTTTTTTTTTTTTTTTTTTTTGAGACAGGGTTTCCCTGTGTAGCTTTGCGCCTTTCCTGGAACTCACTTGGTAGCCCAGGCTGGCCTCGAACTCACAGAGATCCGCCTGGCTCTGCCTCCCAAGTGCTGGGATTAAAGGCGTGTGCCACCACCACCCGGCCTTAGCTTCAATCTCACTATGTATCCAAGTATAACTCTGAACTCCTGATCCCCATCCCTCCACCTCCCAGGTGCTGGGATGACAGATGTGCACCATCACGTCTGGTTTATATGGTGCTGGATGGAATCCAGGCCTCCATGTTGCTAGACAAGTGCTCGACCAACTAAATTACAGGCACTCTGCCCACTGAGCTACAAGCACTCTACCAATGGAGCTCTGTCTACTACTGAGCCTCAAGCACTCCACCCAGTGAGCTTCGGCTGAAGTACTTCCTAAGTTTTCTGAGCCAGCAGTCGGTTGAGTCCTGGGTGTGGATCGTAACCTACAGAGAAGTGACTGCCCATTTCTCTTACTGCTGAGACCCAGCCTGGGATGCTTTGTCATAGCAGCATGAACAGACTAAGACACTGAAGACCTTTTAGGACTGTATGTTGAGTGGGGTGTGTCCCCCACGCCTGGTCCCCCACGCTGATGTGGGAGTTTGGGTCATCTTTGGGAGGTGGAGCCTGGCTGGTAAAAGAAAGGCAGTGGGGGAGGCCCTGAGGGTTAAAACAGCTTCTGGTGTCCCCCTGTCCTGCCTGCCTGCCACGTGTGAAGAATCTGGGACACGCTCTCACTCATACAGCCCCCAACACGACCCTGCGTAGGGACAGGGCTCTGTGCAGACAGTGGGTCCATTGTGAGTGTGGGGCTGGAGTGTAGCTCACTGAATAAAGTGTGAGGACCTGGGCTACATCCCCAGTGACGCGAACACACTGATCACGGCAGCATGCTAGCACTGGGGAAGCGGAGATGGGCGGGTGCTTGGCTCCTTGGCCAGCCATACCTACTTGGTGAACCCAAGGCCTGCAAGAGTCTGTGTCTCCAAAACAGAGAAAAAAAAAAGAAAGAAAGAAAGAAAGAAAGGAAAAAAGACAGACCTTGCCTGAAGAATGACACCACAGTCCTGCCCCTCACCCCTGTGCACGTGCACATTCATTGTGAGCTACGTATTAACGTCCTTGTGACTGATTTCTCCAGTTTTATGGTTGTCCTGGTTTGGGTTTCAGACTGTCCTTAGCAGCTTGATGGGATACTGACGAGGAAAAGAGATGATGCTCATGGGGTGCTCAGACAGCTCGGGACAGTGTGTGCTCATGGGTGATGGACCCACAGATGGCACATAACAGAGGTTAGATACACAGTAAACAGAAAGGAGAGAGAGAGAGAGAGAACGATGGCTAAGACAGACTGGAACACAGTACATGTAGATGACAGGTAATTGGTAGAATAGATGATGGATAAGAGATAGACAGAAAATGTAGGTCATGGATAAGGGAAAGACAGAGGCAAGGAGAATGAGCAGTGGGGAGAGGGAGGGAGAGGGAGGGAGAGAGACCAGAAAATATAACGAAGCAATGCAGCACAGCTCCAACATCAGGAGTAAAATAATCGCATGATCATCTCCAAACAGAGGCAGAGGTCGTGATGATTGACAGCCCTTGTAATAACATATCCTGGCCACAGGGAGGGAGAAGCTGGTAGGCAGACAGCCCCAGGCCACCCTGGCAAGGAAGCCACAGGCACAGGAGCCGCAGACGGCTAGTCACAGCACAGCCACAGTCACCATCACAGAGGACCGAACGCACCTGTGCCTCCTGCTCATGCCCAGCTGGCTGTCCTCCCTCCCACACAGTCCAGGCCCAGCCTGGACACTGATGCTGTGCTCTGGTTGGGTCCTCCCTCCTCAGCAAACAATCAAGGCAACACACACAAGCACACACAAGCACAGAGGCATGCACACACATGAACAGGCATGCACACACACACACACACACACACACACACCACGTGAACACACACAGATATATGCATACAGAGACATACATGCACACACATGCACAGAGACATGAACACACACACACAGAGATACACACAGACATGCACACACCCATGCATACAGGCATATACACAGGCACAGAGACATGCACAAACACAGACACGCACACACACACTACACACACACACACACACACAAATACACACACAGAGGGACACACATGCACATACAGAGACACACACACTCACACAGGCACACACAGGCACAAAGACATATACACACACACAAACACACGCATGTGCCTGAGTGTGCCTGTGCATACAGACACAGACACACACGCACAGGTCAACCAGATCCAGACAATGCCTCACTAAGGCTTCCTCTCAAGCGACTCTGCATGTCAAGGCAGTCCAAGTCAGCCACCACAGGCATGAGATGATAACTGCTACATGTAACAGCATCGTACAGGTGCCGGCTGAAATCACAGTAAAACAAGCATGCCACTCTCTCTTCTCATCCAACAGACAGTTTTCAACCTTAGCCAGAGCGATGTAAGACGGACGTGATGGCTGAGGCTCAGCCTCACAGCACGTGCCTGACCTCCATAAAGCCCTGGTTCTGTCCAAATCCCTGCAGAAAGGAAGGAAGAGGGGCTGCCCGTGACTACTTGCCCCAGCGGGGATCTGCAACATCCATGTGAGAGGCAGGGTGGCTGTAACCCCAGCTGGGCTCACTGGCTCCAGGGAATAAAGCAGAGAGTGAAACAGAATACTGCATCTTCCTCTGGCTCTGCATGCCACACACACATGCGCCCAACCAACACAAAGGGAGAGAGGGAGGGAGGGGGGGAGGGAGGGAGGGAGGGAGGGAAGAAAGGAGGGAAGGAGGGAGGGAGGGAGGTGGGGAGGGAAGGTCTCTTACCTGGAAGACACAATGTAACCCAGCACGTGGGCCACCAGCAGCTGCCCGTGGGTCTCCTCCAGGCGGATGCAGAGCTGGTGAGTGGCTTCCTCAGCTGTGGTGGCCAAGGGCACTGGCACAGTGAAGGAGGCCCACTTCCGGGCCTCCTCAAAGGCCAGCCTTAGCCGCCCTGGGTGGCCGCACTCTGGGAGGCTGGCCCAGAGGACATCCCTCTGAGCCGGGCTCAGCGTTCTCCTTTCTGCAGCCAGTAGCAGCTGGATGAACTCCTGTCCTTGACATCCAGACAGGGCCTTCACCTCCCAGTAGGCGCTGGGGTCCTTGAGGGTCTGCTGCAGGGTGTGCAACACCTGCTGGCCTGAGCATGTAGAGAGGATGAGATGTACCTTTGGGGGACACTTGAGGGGTAGCCAGGAGACCCTCCGAGAATGGCATGTGGAATCTAGATCATCAACTGCGTCCAGGAGCAGCACCAGGGACTCAAAGTTCCTCCGAGACACAGTGTGGAGGAGGGTGTGGAAGAAGTGGCCCACCCTGGCGTGGACCTCCAGGACCTGGGTTGGGGGCAGTGGCAGCCCATAGGCCAGGCACAGCTGAAAGGACACACTCCTGAGGAGGCTTCGGGCATCCAGGCTCATCTTTGATGTCCCCAACAACCTCAGGACGGCCACCGTCTTGTGGCCAAGAAGCCTTGGTACCTGCTCGGCTAGCTTGCACATGAGGGACGTCTTCCCGATGCCTGGTGGCCCGAAGAGAACCAGCGGAGTATGGGGCCGGCTGTCATCCTGTCTGAGCCGCTGCCCCAGCTGGGCCAGGAGTTCCTGGTGGCCACAGAAGATGCTGGTGGACTCTGTACCCCGCCAGAGGTGGTGGCGGATCTCCTGGTAGAGCCAGCCCAGCTCCTGTCTGGCTGACTCCAGCTCTCGAAGTTGCTCCAGGACCTGATGGTTGGTCCTGGCCACAAACTGCTCACTCAGCTCCTTCAGGTAGCGGGCATGAGCCTTATTCTTGGGATTGACCAGGTCACGGCTCCAGGGCAGGCGGTGGGACTTTAGGGCTCCAGGCTGAGCATCCAGTATGCGTTCCTTAAGGCCACTGAGAAGACTCTGGGCTCCGGTGTCCAGGCAGCCATCCGCCAGCCGATCCACCATCTTCAGAGAACAATCGTCCAAAATGTGTTTACTGAGGTCCTGTACATCTCTCAGGAAGATGGTAGCTCCCTGGTCCCCTTGTGCTGAGCTCAGGAGGCCCTGCTCGATCTCCCACTCAATGACTGCAAAACAGAACAGGAGGGGTCATCAGGGTCTCCGAGGCCTGTGAGGGGCTTTGGGGAGACAGGTTCCAGACATGTCAAGGCAAACAAATGGGACATTCACATGGGACAGCTTGCAGAAGCCCATGTGGGATACGCACTTGTGTGTGTGTGTGGGGGGGAATGTGGGTGGGGGGGTGGGTGGGAAGGGGTATTTACACATCATGCCCGTGGAGACCAGAGGCCAGCCTCTCCGGAGTCATGCCAGGATCTCAATGGCCAGCCAGCCTACCCAAAACGGTGAGCTTCGGGGTCCAGGAGAGACTTTGTCTTGAAGGAATCAGTTGAGAGTGACAAAGGGCAAGGCTGATGTCCTGCTCTGGGCCCCACGCACCCACACAGACGTGCACATTCACACACACAACCCAAAAGACTGCAGCTGGGACGGGTGGGAGTCCATTCTCTCCCTCTACCATGTGGGTCACCGGGACTGAACTCAGGTCATCGGACTTGGTGGCAGCACCTTTACCTCCAGAGCCATCTCGCTGGCTCAGCATACAAAGTTCTAAGTCAGTCTGGACTACACAAGGAGACTCTGCCTCAAAAGAAAAAAAAAAAATAAAACCAGACAGTGTGTGATTCCGTTGATAAGAAATGTCCAGAACAGGCTCAATCATAGATAGCAAGCAGATGAATGGTTCCTGCAGCCGGGCTAGGGAAACAGCCTCCTGCTAAGGTGATAGAATGTTCTGGAACTAGACCAAGGTGGCACTACACAGCATGGTGAGTATTAAACTGTTCTCTTTACAAACGGGAATTTCAGCTCTGTGAGTGTCACCTCAGTGTGTCTGCTTACAGTGTCTCCCTCGAACAGTCAATCAACAAGCACTCAGCTCCTGCATGTATTAGCCTCCGTGGTCCACATAGGGACTCGGCATGAGGGTCACCTGGAAACAGGTGATAATGAATGAGACTGTCCTCCCAGATATAAGTGATGGGGACAAGGTGGATGTGAAGGCAGAGAGGAAGGAGAAAGGATTATTACAGAGTTGGAGTCTTTACTAACCAGCTGGGTAGAAGTGGCAGCTGCTGTCTGGGAACAAGCTTGGCACCTCACCCATAAAGGGCCAAAGAAGATGAATCTGTCACAATCGGACAGTTCTGACATCGTAGCAAGAATGCAACAGGTGATACCCAGATGAATGTGCCTGAGAGTGTCAATGAAACTGCAGTTCAATCACAAGCTGTGGGCCAGGCTTGGCACCATTACCACAGTTGGCTGATCCCGTGCCAGGGTGTGCTGTGGCTGCCTCAGGGCTCTTTTATCTTTTTAAGATTTATCTCTAAGTAGCCTCGACTGTCTGGAACTCACTCTGTAGACCAGGCTGGCCTCGAACTCACAGAGATCCTCCTGCTGCCTCTGTCTCCCGAGTGCTGAGATTAAAGGTGTGCACCACAGCCACCCGGCTTGTCTTTGTTTTTTAATTATGTGCAGATGTGTGTAGGTTTGTGCCTGTGAGTACGGAGTCTGGGGGCACAGAAAAGAACTGAACTCGGGTCCTCCAGAAGAGCAGCCAGTGCTCTACTACTGCGCCATCTCCCCAGCAACGCCCATAGACTCTTATTGTCTAGAATCCTGAACTCACACTGACTTGTCTCAGGAGGCTCTTGTTTTTTAGCAGCAGCCAGACCTGAGGAGTTATTTTTGAAGCCTCTCTGGGTTCAGTGAAGGCTCCCAGCTCTCCACAGATGGGAGAGCCAGGCCCTTGGAGACACTGCATTCCAGTCAAGGACAAGAGTCACCTAATGTCCCCTTCAAGGCAGGCGTGAAGTCACGGGCCTGTTACCTCAGTCACCCGGGAGGCTGACGCAGGGAGATCACAGGTTCAAGGCCAGCGTGGGTGACTAAGACTCTGCCTCAAAATGGAAGACTCAAAAAAGCTGGGATGGAAGGACCTGGTATTGTCTGAATTCTAGTTAATTGCAATGCACCAATGTTAAGTTGAATTATGAGTCTTGCCGCATGTACAGCAAAACTATCGATATAAATTCCTGGGCTTGCCTAGTGTGCAGGAAGCCTTGGGATCCACCCCCAGCACCACATACACCCGGTGTGGTGATGCACAGCTGTGTCTCGATACTCTGGAGGCAGAGGCAGGGAGATCAGGAGCTCAAAGTTATCCTTGGCTACATAACAGGTTCAGGGCTGGCCTGGGCTACATGAGATCCTGTCCAAAAAAAGAAAAAAGAAAAAGCCCCCAAGAGGCTGGGACAATGGCTCAGTGGGTGAAGGGTTTGCCATGTGTTAACGAGGATCACAGTTCACATCCTCAGTGCTCACAGAAAAGCTCGGTAGGGTGACAACTGACTGTCACCTAGCACACTGGAAACGAGACAGGGGCTCTGTGGAGCAAGCTGGCTACCGACACTAGCTTCATCTACGAACCGGGGTTCAGTGAGAGACTCGGCCTCAATGTACAATCGGGAGACACCTGACAAACTCAGGCCACATGTGTGCACACCCCCACAAGTGCACCTTCGAACACACGAGCATGTGTGTGTGCGCGCACACACACACACACACACACACACACACACACACACACACACACACACACACAGCGTTCTAGGATCAGTGAGATGCATCAGCATGTAAAGGCCCTTGTGGCTGAGCTTGATAACCTGAGTTTGACTCCTGCAAATTGTCTTCTGACCTCCACATGTCTCCACAGCTGGCACACACTCTCCCGTCAATAAATAAATGCATATAAAAAAAGAATGCATTCTTAAACACCCTCAGTCCTAGGCAAACTGGGGATGGTGGTCACTCTGGGAGACAGGAGGGCAGAGCCAGGGCCAGGAGAAGGGTCCCAGAAGCTGATACTGGTTTGACTAGGGCGTGCAGTCTCCGGGAAGCCAAGCAGGTTTGACACTGACTGAGATGACACACGTGTATCTGAGGTCCCGGGCGATGTGTGTTGTCTTGGATGTCACACGGACCCCTGGGGTTCCCTGGGCCTCACCTGATCGATTGTAACACTTCCATTGCTCCTGGCTGATGAGGCCCAGCCTCCAGGCCTCCTGAGCTCCACCTCGCAGGACAGAGGTCAAGGTGGCCTCCTCAGGCCCTGGGGCCTCCACGGAGCCTGGAGGCTGCAGCACGTAGGTGGGAGGGATGGCGTTGTCGTCCCTCCGGAAATGTCTGGCCACCAGCTCCAGATCCCGAGGCCTGGAGGTTAGCTGGGCCCTTAGTGCCTCCCACTCTTTCTCCTCGATCCGTTGGGGAACCAGGCAGGGGCCATACTGGTCGCCCAGGAGAGCCTGGCAGGGAGACAGACGGGAGGGGGCTGAGGCAGGAGGAGCGTGAGTTCTAGGCCAACATGGACAGCAAAGGAAGACTGTCTCAGAAGAGTGAAGCTCAGCAACAGCTACAAGATGGAGGGGGAGGAGTGAGGAGGGGAGGGATGAGGAAGGGGGGAGGAGGAGGGGGGAGGGGAAGAGAGGAGGAGATGGAGAAAGGATACACAGGAAGGGAGGAGGAAGGAGAACACCCAGAAGTAGTAACCGAGGTGGGCCTGTGTGTATATGCGCACATGCACCTGTGCATTCAAGTGTATATGTACACATGGCGTGTGTACGCGCGCGTGTGGGTCCATGCATGGGCACATGTGAGGGAAACAGGTAAGTTTCCGGTGTTTTGAGTCAGGGCTCCAATGTTGCCCAGGCTAGCTCTGGCCTCAGCCTTCTGAGCAGAACAAAAGGCCCAGGCCACACATCCTGTTCAGGAATCTGTAGTGAGAGATTGTCAGGCAGCTCCTCCAGGGTCCCTGCAGCCTCACAGGAACAAGGTCCGGCCTGCCTCAGAGGGAGGTTTGGGGCTGGAGCCACAGAGCAAGGAGGTGCTAGGAGCAGCTGGAGCCCCAAGAGACGCAACCTCTAAATGAGGTGCATGGGGAACCTGTGGCTTGCTAATGAGTTATTTACCACAGAACCATCTCTCCAGGGCACCAGTGTGGGTCTGATTTCGTGGAAAGTCACCCTAACAAGAGTGACCGTGACAGGCAGTCTCTGAGGACAAATCGGGGTGATGCTGTAGGGGAGAAGTTCCCAGGACTGCTGGCTTGGATATGGAGGAGGCCTGGGGACGGTCCTTCCCCATGCAGCGGGAGCCATCCTGTGCTTTTCCCAGCCTGCCGTGTGGACCGAGGGTCAGTTCCCCTGTGGCATCTCCTAGCCCTTTCTCTCTGAAAATTTTAATTTGTGGGTGGTTTGTTTATTTTTGTGCTTGGGGATATTTCCTCCTTCCCATTTAAAAAACATTTTTAAGGGCTGGCAAGACGGCTCAGTGGGTAAAGGTATTTGCCACGGAGCCAGACAGCCTGAGTTCAGTCCCTAGAACTCAGATGGTGGAGGCAGGGAAGCGACCCCTGCAGTGTTGAGAGCTGTGTGCAAGCCGCAGGAAAACGTTGTGGAATTCAGCTATGGTCACAAAAGCTACTGCTTAGAAAAGTCAAGGACTTCTCCAAAAGTCAGCCATGGCTCAAGAAGTCTTGGTAATATTTTAGCTTTTGTGTGTATATTAGCTGGTTCCTACAGTGATTTTCTTGTAATGCTGTGTGTGCTTCCTAGAACTCCTAACAGTGTAGTTATCTAAAATACCTATCAAGCATCCAAGGCCAAACAAAACAACACCTCTCTCCTAAGTCTGGTGGATAGCTTTATTTCTTGTGCAATTTAGGGTGAGACCGTACAACTGTACTAATAGACTCCTAATTTCTTACCTAACCACTTCTAGGAATGTAGATTGAGCACATAAATTCCCTTCTTGATATACTAATCGATCATTAGCTCTCAGTTGACCTCCTCCTTTACCACGCCCCTTTTGGGTTGTAAAAGAAAGTCTAGTGGTCACTGCCTGAGGAAAATTCTTACCTGCCTTTATGACCACGTAAGAATTCAAGCCTGGTGACCTTGCTTTGCCAGAGGATTGCTATTGCTTGGGTTTATAACTGGATTCCTGAGAGATTTGGGGAGAATGGAGAGAATAAGGAGAACTGAGAGGTAGAAAGAGAGAGAGGAGGATTTTGAAGAGAGAACTTGAGGATGAGATGGAAGAGAGAAAAGAGAATGGAAGAACTAGATCGGTAAAAACTAGAGAGGAAGGGACTAGATGGGAAGAACTAGATTGAAGGGCAAGAAGAGAGGACTAGAGGAACGAGATGGAAGATGAAGAAGAGTCAGATGGGGAAGAACAAGATGAGAGAGAAGGAGATGGGAGAGGAGCTGATATGGGAAAGAACTAGATGGATGAGAACCTAGATGAGGCAGAACTGAGATGAGAGAATTAAGGTAGAACTTAGAGAGGACAGCAGATAAAGGTAGAGAGAAATCAGGCAAGAAAGGAGCATGAGAGCACAATAGAGAGAACTGATTTAGAATAATAACGTGTATGGACTAAGGATTTCATGCACATAGACTCACTTCTTTTCATCAAAGATTACATTATCAGCTGGTTATAGATTCTTCCAGGACCCTGGGAAGGGACTACCAAGGGGCTGGACCTCCACAGTCACCCATAGAGCTGCTGGCAGCAAAAGTCCATGGAGTATACAGCAGTGACAACTAGAGTTCAGAAGGTCAACCTATCAGAACTAAGGGTTCTGTAAGAGGAAACCCACACAAGGCGTTATGGGATTACTGCCTTTTGAATGAACTGGCTGTGTCTTGTAAACTTCTTGTGTAATAACGGCTATGATTCTCCCCATTTACCATGCATTTCCATGTAATGTGTACATGTAATCTCACGATTGCATCTCAATTTTATGGACACACATAATTATAGATAGTCTAGAAGATGGTTTCTTGTTTAACTGTACAATTTTTTTCTTTTTTTTTCCCCCGAGACAGGGTTTCTCTGTGTAGTTTTGTGCCTTTGCTGGAACTCACTTTGTAGACCAGGCTGGCCTTGAACTCACAGAGATCCACCTGGCTCTGCCTCACAAGTGCTGGGATTAAAGGCATGCACCACCACCGCCTGGGTAACTGTACAATTTTTATGAATAGAAACACACTAAAATATGCTTCATGCTAGATCTATTGTTCCATGTGGACTGTAGACACTTAGAGGTCTTGTTCTCCAGCCTTAGCCACTGACAAGGTAAATATTGGCCAGACAAAGTGTCTTCGTAGAACTTTCACAGAGTGGAACTGCAGGTGCCTGGCCTTATTGGATCAAAACTCTTCAGAAGAATTATAGTGAACCAGAAGTGATAGTGCAGGTGTCTGGCCTTGGTGTATCTTAGTCCTTCAAGAGATCAACAGCACCTATGTTGCCCTAAGCTTCCTCCATCAGCACCTCCCCACTCTGATTCAAAATACAATTAACACTTTGTATTTATTTCTACATCAGTTTTTTTTTTTTTTTTTTTTTTTTTGGTTTTTCAAGACAGGGTTTCTCTGTGTAGTTTTGCGCCTTTCCTGGATCTCGCTCTGTAGAACAGGCTGGCCTCGAACTCACAGAGATCCGCCTGCCTCTGCCTCCTGAGTGCTGGGATTAAAGGCGTGCGCCACCACCGCCCGGCTCTACATCAGTTTTTAATGCAAGATTTTAGCTCAGTAGACTAATTATGTATAGGTCCTGAGATTCAGGTCACTAACAGAAAAAGGCTGTTAACTGATGAACCACGCCTGGATTTATTTATTTATTTATCTATTTATTTATTTATTTAGGTTTTTCCAAGACAGGGTTTCTCTGTGTAGCTTTGGAGCCTATCCTGAAACTTGCTTTGTAGAACAGGCTGGCCTCGAACTCACAGAGACCCACCTGGCTCTGCCTCCCGAGTGCTGGGATTAAAGGCGTGCCACCACTGCCCATGTCTGGATATTATTAATCACATAAAATAGCACACATATTCTTTGTCTTTTCCTTAAATCTCTCATTGGTTTAATTTCTTCCCTTGTAACCCTTGTAGCGATCCCTTTAAGAGATAGCCAGAACTTGTTACAGCCTGCAGCTGTTGTCAGTCACCGTTAGGCTGGCCAAGTCTTTGCCAGGTGTGACTCTCACCAGAATACTTGTCCCTGAGAGTTGACTTTGTAGTTTTTACTAACAAGTTGTTAATGAATGGATATATATATATATATATAAATTTGCTTGGGGGAACAAAGATGAGAAGAACATGGAAAGAACTAGGTAGACTAATGAGGGAACAGCAGAAGGGACAGAGAGGAGCTCGGTATGAGAACAAAAAAGCAGCTGTGTAGATAGAGTTGATTTAGAAGAATGAAGTGAACGGACTAAAGAGCTCGGTGTGCTTAGATGCACTTGGTTTCCCTCAGATGAGTAACCCAGCTGCTTGGAGCATCTGTTCTGGACCCTGGTAGAAATCTCCTCAGGGCAGGCACCTGCGGAGAATTCATTACTGCAGGTTGCCCTCTGACCTGCATGCGCGCCAAGGCCTGTGCTCCACTCCCATAAATAAATAAATGTCCAGAACTGGACTGGCTGGTGGCACAGGCCCGCCATCCCTGAACTGGAGGTAGAGGCTGGAGAATTGAGTCAATGACTAGTTTCAGCTTCATAGTGAGTTTGAGGCCATCCTGGGTTACCGGAGACCCCTTCTCAAAAGGGAAAAAAACGAAACACAGTTATCCTTTGCAAACTCAACATGATTGTCAGATCTTTGGGAAATGAAACTTAGGAGCATGGAAAAATAACTGAGAAGGGGAGTTATAGCAAGAGAGCATTTTCATCGTGTGTATGTGTGTGTGTGTGTGTGTGTGTGTGTGTGTGTGTGTGTGTGCGCGTGCGCGTGCGCACATACATATATGGTCTGTGCATGTGGAGGCCAAAGGTATACACAATATGACTTCTAGCCCTCTCTCTAACTTACTAATTTTTTAAAGTTTATTTACATGTGTGGGTGTGTACTATTGTGGATTCAGTGTCCACGGAGGCCAGAAGAGAGTGTCAGATCCCCTGGAACCAGAGTTAAAGCATTTGTGAGCTCCCTGATGAGGGCGTGGAAGGTCCGAACTTTCCCCATTTTACAACTGGGCCCGAGTTTCAGTTTCCTAAAAGGACAACGAGGGAGATAGCATGTACCCAGAGATGAGGGAGATAGCAGGTACCCAGAGATGAGAGAGATAGCATGAACCCAGAGATGAGAGAGATAGCGTGAACCCAGAGATGAGGGAGATAGCAGGTACCCAGAGATGAGGGAGATAGCAGGTACCCAGAGATGAGGGAGATAGCAGGTACCCAGAGATGAGGGAGATAGCAGGTACCCAGAGATGAGAGAGATAGCATGAACCCAGAGATGAGGGAGATAGCATGTACCCAGAGATGAGGGAGATAGCAGGTACCCAGAGATGAGGGAGATAGCAGGTACCCAGAGATGAGGGAGATAGCATGTACCCAGAGATGAGGGAGATAGCATGTACCCAGAGATGAGAGAGATAGCAGGTACCCAGAGATGAGAGAGATAGCAGGTACCCAGAGATGAGAGAGATAGCGTGAACCCAGAGATGAGAGAGATAACATGAACCCAGAGATGAGGGAGACAGTACGTACCAGGCCTGAGCCAGCCCACAGTACCTCAAGGCAGTGACCAAAAAGGACAGTTCCTGTAATCTCCCTAAAACATACCATGCCTTGCCCAAGTATGCCCCCAAATGGTAAAACTATAACCACAGTCAATTAAAAATGTACTAATTTGGCTACAGCCTGCATAACCAATTGTGTTTGAGATGACCTAGCTGTTCCTAGATTTCCCTAGCTGAGCTTAAAAGGGACCTGCGTGCTCCCTTTCAGGGAACATTTTGTACAAATGGTAGATACCCGACCCCTGCCATGCTGGAATCAACACTGCTTTCACGTACTATTTGGGTCTGGGGTTTTCAGCAATTCTCGGACCCTTACAGGTGCTGGGTCTTCTGTGATTACAGCAGGCATGTGGTACTGCTTAGCCACCTCTCCAGTCCACACTTTCTTTTTTGAGACACAGTCTCTCCAGGAACCTGAGCTCACTCACTGGCTGCTCAGTGAGTTCCAGGGATCCATCCATCTTTGCCCTCTAGGTGCTCAGGATTTGAACTTGGGTGCTCCTGCCTGTGCACCAGACACTTGACACACTGAGCATTCTCCCAGCCTGAGAAAATACTTTAAAGCAATAATAATTAAAACATCCTGGTAGTTGAGTACAAAGAGAAGTACAGGACACAGTTTGAAGACACCAGAGGCACTGAAGTTAAAAGTTAACACATGACCAAGCATGGTGGCACACACCTTTAATCCCAGCACTCAGGAGGCAGAGGCAGGGAATCTCTGTGAGTTTGAGGCTAGCCTGGTCTACAGAGTGAGTTCTAGGATAGCCAAGGCTACACAGAGAAACCCTGTCTCAAAAAAACAAAAATAAAAAAGCAAACAACAACAAAATGTTACCACGTTGGCAGAGGTGTGACTCAGCCCTGGCCCAGGCTGGCCTCCAACTCATGGGCTCTAAATGGGACATCTCCATCAGCACAATTGCTCAGGAGCATCACAGAAGGGGGGGCGGGAAAAAGGCTGTAGACCCGGCATGACCGCCACAGGCCGCAGAAACATGAAGCAGGAATTCAGCCGACTAAAGCAAAAGCCGATACCTGGGACAAGCAGGGCTCTTCAGAGGGAAAAGCCAAGCCTCAAGGCGTCTCCGTGATATTAGCTCTTAAATACATTTTAGCCGGTTCCTGCAATGAATTTCTTGTATGCTGTGGTAGCTTTCCCAATTAATTCTTCTTCTAAGAACTTCTAACAGTGTATTTTATCTGAGTTACCTCTCAAACATCCAAAGACAAATGGCAGACAGAATAAGCATTTCAGACCACCTGCTGGTCTCCTGAATGAAGGTAAATATCCATACAGAGGCGCCAGGAGGACAAGGCAGATGTTACATAGTAGCTTTGTGTCTTGTGCCAATTAAGCTCAGACCCTCCTTTCTTCCTCAGGCCAAATGGCACCTCAGACTTCCCCTCCAACAATTAGTTCAACAAAAGGGCCTTTTTCTTACCAGGTGCATTCAAGCTATGGTGCAGGTTTCCTAGCTACTGAGCAGACTCACCCTGCCCACCCAGAAAGTGGCAGGGCAGAGTATTGCTGATGGTATGTGTGGGGAGATGGGTCACAGGAAGGAGAAAGGAACAGAGATGGAGATAGGAATGAAGACGAAGATGAGAACGAGATGGAAAGAACTTAGGTAGGACTATGAGAGGACAGGAGAGGGGACAGAGAGGAGCTAAGGATGAGAACAGAGTTGAAGCTGTGTAGATAGAATTTTGTCTTGAAGAATAAAGTAAATGGACTAAAGAGTTTCGTGTAAATAGATTCATTTGATATCCCTTAGATTAGTATCCCCGCCATGTGCAGCATCCTCCCCAGGACTCTGGGAGAAATCTCCTCAGGGCAGGCACCTGAGGGGGTTTTGATACATGACTGTTTGAATGCACGAGCTCACAGCAGCTATACCTACACAAGCTCAAGACGACAGCTCAGCTATACCTACACAAGATCAAGACAGCTAAAACCTGTTGGGATTCTGCCGCGCTCCAGCTGCATGACCACAGTTCAGGAGCTAGACAAGGGGTCTTGTCTCTTACATCATCAATGTGCGCTGGTGATTAAGTAGCATGGCGTGGTCATGCAATCTGCACATGCATGGCTTAGCTCTGTAAGCCCACCTGCACCTTAAAGAGCCGTGACTCGGACCCCACCCTCTCTCTCCGTTCTGTTCTCTCTCTCCCCCACCATCTTTCTCTCTCTCTCTCTGCTCTCTGCATGTGTGTCTCTCACCAGGCCTGGTTCTTCTGCCCTCCGCCTCTCTTTCTCCTAATAAAGCTCTGATACTGATACTGGGCTTTGCCGTGGCCATGACCTATCGGCATGGTAACCAGTGCCGGTAACCAACGCCACTCATCATTCTTACAAAATCCAATGTGGGGGTGTTATGAGGTCCTACCCTGATCTGAGGACCTATTGGCAGTTGATGGCTGCTGGGGAAGGAAGTCACTTTGTTTGAAGGGTAGGACCTCTGGCAGGTTGCTCAGGCTCTATGTTGGCATTCAGATGGTACTAATTGAACTCATCGGGTTATTAAAAAAAGACTCCTGGGTTGAAGCAATCCTCCTCCCTCAGCCTCCCAAGCAGTTGTGACAACAGGTGTATGCCTGCACCTCCAGCTTCTTCTGATTTGTTCTCTTAGGGAGACTTATTCACTGAGGCAACGCTAGCCTATAGAACATTCTAGAAATCTGGGTGAATGCTAATCCATGCTGCCGACACACTGTGATCAAGGCAATGTGAATGTTGTTGCACAGGGTCTGCAGCTCTTCTTGTGGACAGTGAGGTTTTTTATTCATGGGTGAGCCTGTGAGTGGGTATGTGCACATGAGTGCAGTGTCCTCAGAGGCCAGAAGAGGGCATCAGACTCCTGGGAGCTGAAGTTATGAACAGTTGTGAGCAGCCTGACATGGGTGCTGGGCACTGAACTGGGATGTTCTGCAAGAGCAGCACAGGCTCTTAACTGCTGGATCTCAGGGGTGTTTGTTTGTTTGTTTCAAAACAGGGTTTCTCTATGTATCTCTGGCTGTCCTGGATCTCGCTCTGTAGACCAGGCTGGCCTCAAACTCACAGAGATCCACCTGCCTCTGCCTCCTGAGTGCTGGGTATTCCCAGCTTGGTTTTTGTTTTTGTTTTTGTTTGTTTGTGGGGTTTTTTTGGGGGGGGGAGGGGTTGGGATTTTGTTGTTGTTGTTTTGGGTTGGTTTTTTTTTTTTTTTGCTACAGGGTTTCTTTGTGTAGCTTTGGGAGCCTTTCCTGGAACTCACTTGGTAGCCCAGACTGGCCTCGAACTCACAGAGATCCACTTGCTTCTGCCTCCCAAGTGCTGAGATTAAAGGCATGCGCTACCACCACCCAGCTTGCTTTTCTTTTTTAATTGTCACTTTTTGAGACAGGGTCTGCAACTTGGTAGCCAAGGATGACCTTGAACTCCTGATCTTCCTGCCCCCACCTCCTGGGTGCTGGAAATACAGGCCTGACTATCTCCCAGCTTGGGGATTATTTTGGTGACAGAGGAGGTACAAGTGTGTGTTCCAGACCAACAGAAACATGGAGGCAGAAAAAGGATGTGGGTTTCTACTTTCTCTCTTGTTTTCCAGAATCCCAAAGTTTCACAGATGTAAAGTGGACCAGGTGGGAAGAGTGAGGGAATTTCAGAATGGCCCGAAAGACACCCTCCCGAGTCAGTGTTATCCTCTCCAGCTCACTTACTGCTGCATTTGATTACTAATGCCTGGCTTCCAGCTATTTCTGAAGAGCACATGAGTACTGTTACTGATTAGTTATGTCTGTCATGACCGGTTTATGGGGATTGGGTTGTTTGCTAAAGTGCCACCCACTTCTCTCACTCCTCTGTTTGGGTAGCTGTCAGGGGCCACATTCCTGTGATGGAAGACGGAATAAGGGCACCTCCACCTACCCTGACACACTCACCACAAAAGCTGGTCCTATGGATGTTTTCTGGCAGCGTTCAAGTTCTTCTAAGCAGAGTTCTGTGGTCAAGTGGTCAGTGGCCTGTGTGTTCGGGACACCCCACCTCAGATCAACCACCTGGGAATAGAAGGGTGAGGTTTCTGATGACTGATTTGTTCTATAATTTCATTCGACTGAAGAAGTTTCTCCCAACCAGTTTTGTTGCATCTCTCTTCCAGGGGGATTCTAGATTAGACAAATTTGAGGCTAGGGATGTAGCTAAGTGGTAGGATGCTTGCCTAGAATCCCCCAGTGAGGGGCTGGGGGTGTGGTGTGTGGCAGATGGTTTGCATAATGCACACAATCGGTCCCTGGATTCCATTCTGAACCAGAATAAAAGAACAAAAGTGGCACGCCTTTAATCCTAGCACTCGGGAGACAGAGGCAGGGGGATCTCTGTGAGTTCGAGGCCAGCCTGGTCTACAGAGCGAGTTCCAGGACAGCCAGGGCTACACAGAGAAAACTTGTTTTGAAAAATTTTAAAAAGAGGGACTAGAGAGATGGCTCAGAGATTGAAAGCATTGACTCCTCTTCCAGAGGACCCAGGTTCAATTCCGAGCACCCACATGGCAGCTCACACCGGTCTGTAACTCCAGTTCCAGTGGACCAGACACCTTCACACAGACATACAGGCAGGCAAAACACCAATGCACGTTTTTTAAAAAGAAAGAAAAAATTTAAAAAACGTGGGTCCTCAGTGTAATTATGAGAAAAGAAAAGGGTAGCTCCACACTGAGGGGGCATCTTTGGGTATCTTCAGGATTCACGGTTGTTCCTCTCTCAGAAGGTCACGGTCATGAACTACAAGGAAGGGCCCTTGGGCTCCAGATGCTGAAGCAGGAGCAAGGATTTTGAGTCCAAAGCCTGTCTGAGCTGCATAGAGACCCTGCCTCAAGGAAGAAGAGAAGAGAAGAGAAAAGAAAGGTTTACTTAAAAACAAGTTTGTGGGGCTGGAGGGCTGTCTTGGTGGTTGCGAGCACTTGCTGCTCCTTCAGAGATCTGAGTTCATTTCCCAGAACTGCACTGGGCATCTCACAACAGCTTGGAACTCCAGCTCTGGGGATCCAAAGCCCTGCACACACTTGGCAAAAAACCATAAATAAAAATAATAAACCTTAAAAAACAAGAACAGGCTTGCTAGGGCTGAGGCTGTGCCTTAGTTGGCAGAGGGCTCCCCTGACTACACAAAGCCCTGAGTTTGATGCCCAGCACTGTCTAGCAGCTGGGGCTGGGGCATGCCTTTTATCCCTCTGCTTGGAAACAGAGGGATCCAGAGCTCAAGGTCATCCTTAGCTACATAGCAAGCTCAGTGTCAACCTGGATTTCACAAGACCCTGTTTCAACAATTGAAAAATTCTGTAGGAAGCTGGGTGTTTCTCGCCCTGTTCCTTTTTAAAGGAGAACATGTCCAAGCTTGCTGGGAGCATGCTTTGTGACGGAGGGTATTGAGACCAGCAGGAAGTGACCCAGCCAACTCTCCTTAGCAACCACACACCAGGTCCACCTCTGCCACTGGCTGGCAGAGAGCTGGGGGAGGTGGAGGAGGGGTTGGGAGCTGGGCTGAATGGCAGCTGCAGCACTGGCCCAGGGAAGGCTGGAATGACAGGAAGACAAAGGGTACACGGAGCTGACTCCACCTTTGTAAATCCTGTAGCCCAGAGAGAAATGCAAATCCTGAGTAACTACAGCTACAGCAACAGAGGCTGAGGGGACCCCGCGGGGAGAGGTGGTGAGGGTGCAGCCTCCAGCCCCCCCCCCCCCCCCCAGCTAGCCAGGCACTTGTGCCATCTGCCTGGGGCACCAGTGAGGGTGTTTAAGGGACAAGCACAGGGCTTTAGTGAGCCCTCAGTGTGTAAGATTTCCCTCTGCCGCTGTTTCGTTCCGGTGGTGCTGGGGACGGACCCCAGGGCCCTCACTCTCGTGAGGCAAATGCTCCACCCCTGAGCTATACCCTCATGGCCTGTTTATTTTATTTTATTTACTTATTTTGAGACAGCATCTCCCTATGTTTCCCAGGCTGGCCTTGAACTCTGGGCTCAATCAATGCTCTTCCTTGACTCATTGTCCTCTTGTCTCTGAGCTTGAATTCTGTCTCTTTTTTTTGGTTTTTCGAGACAGGGTTTCTCTGTGTAGCTTTGCGCCTTTTTCTGGAACTCACTTGGTAGCCCAGGCTGGCCTCGAACTCACAGAGATCCGCCTGGCTCTGCCTCCCGAGTGCTGGGATTAAAGGCGTGTGCCACCATCGCCCGGCGAATTCTGTCTCTTAAGCAATGACAGGAACAGTGGAATTCCAAACCCATCTCCTTCCTTATTTCCTTTTTTAAAAAAATGCTATTTTGGGGGTGGGGGGGGGGTTGAGACAGGGTTTCTCTGTGTAGCCCTGGCTGTCCTGGAACTCGCTCTGTAGACCAGGCTGGCATTGAATTCACAGAGTTCCGCCTGCCTCTGTCTCCCAAGTACTGAGATTAAAGGTGTGCGCCACCATAGCTGGGCTGCATGTGTTATTATTTCTATAAGTATGTATACACATAATGTAAACATGAGTGTGTCTGTGAACATGTGTGCAGTACCCTCAGAGGCCAGAAGAGGGCACTGGATCTCCTGGAACTGGAGTTACAGGTGGTTGTGGGTTACCTAATGTGGGTGCTGGGAACCAAACTCAGGTCTGATCCAACAGCAGAAGCCCTCTTGACCACCAAGTCATCCTTCTGGCTCCTTTATTTCTCTCTGTGGTATATGTGTGTACATGTTCATGCGTGTGTGTGCACAGAGGTGTGCATGTGCATGTGTCTGGTGTCTTCCTTTGTTCTGCCCCATCTTGGTTTTTGAGACAGGGTCTCTCAGACTGGACTGCATGGCCATCCAGCTCTGGGGTGGTGCCTGTCTCTGCCCTGACCTCCAAGTTCAGATTACAGTCACATGCCACTGCACCCAGCTTCTATGTGGGAACTGGGGATCAAAACTCAGACCTTCAAGCTTTCAAGGGAAGCCTGGTCCTTTCTCAGGAGTCTATCAACAATGAGTTGGACTTTCTGCCCCTTCTGCCACCATGGCACCATAGGAAAGCTTGTGGGGAGGTTGGTTTTGGAATTCACCCTTGACTGCACCCTGGAGAAGACAGGAATCACCGGATGCTGCCAGTTTCAAGCACTTCCTCCAGGAGAGAGTCAAAGCGAACTGGAAAACGGGGAATCTTGGTGGAGGGATGTGACCATAGATGAAGAACACGATCATTGTCACTCTCAGGTGTCTTTCCCCAAAAGGTATCTGAAGGATGACAGTCTCCGGGGCCAACTGTTGCCAACAGCAAAGAGAGCTATTAGCCAGGCAGTGGTGGCACTCGCCTTTAATCCCAGCACTTGGGGAGCAGAGGCACATGGACTTGAGGCCGGCCCGGTCTACAGAGTGAGTTCTAGGCCAGCCAGGATTGCTACACAGAGAAACCCCATCTCAAAAAACTGAGAGAGAGCCGGGCGGTGGTGGCGCACGCCTTTAATCCCAGCACTCGGGAGGCAGAGCCAGGCGGATCTCTGTGAGTTCGAGGCCAGCCTGGGCTACCAAGTGAGTCCCAGGAAAGGCGCAAAACTACACAGAGAAACCCTGTCTCGAAAAACCAAAAAAAAAAAAAAAAAAAAAACTGAGAGAGAGAGAGACAGAGACACAGAGAGAGAGAGAGAGAGAGAGAGAGAGAGAGAGAGAGAGAGAGAGAGGGAGGGAGAGGGAGAGCGCTACGAGCTGCTTTCCAGATTAACCAGGATGAAGAGGAGGACCAGGATTAGGAAACACCGGTCTGGAATGTTTTGTATGAATTCACATATAAATTCTAGGAACAACAAAAATGAGGCTGACTTTTAGAAACACTGTCTCGCTTGGCAATGGTGGCGCACACTTTTAATCCCAGCGCTCGGAAGGCAGAGCCAGGCGGATCTCTGAGTTCCAGCCTAGTCTATAGAGAGATCCAGAACAGCCAGAGCTACACAGAGAAACCCTGTCTCAAACACACACACACACACACACACACACACACACACACACACACACACACACACGGGCGCGCACACGCACACACACAGACTTTGTTTCAAAAAAGTGTGGAGAGGGGCTGGGCAATGGCAGATCTCTAAGATGCTTGTCTGTAGCACGAGGCCCTGAGTTCCATCCCATGAACTCATGCAAAAGCCAGGCTCAGTGATACATCCTGCAGTCCTAGAGCTGAGGACCCCGGGGCTGGATGTCAGGCAGTCTGGTTGGCGAGCTCTAGGCCAGAGGGAGATGCTGTCTCTAAAACCTGAACGGATGGCACCTGGGGAATGACACCCAAGAGTGACACCTGGTCTCCACATGTGTGCACACACATGTACACACACACATATACAGGAACACTGATGAGGAGATGGGGAGAGCAAGATGTAGAGCAAGAAGGTGGTCTCTTATTAAAAAATTACAAAGGGCTGGAGAGATGGCTCAACAGTTAAGAGCAATGGCTGCTCTTGCAGGGGACCCAGGTTCAGTTCCCAGCACCCACATGGCAGCTCACAACTGTCTGAAACTCCAGGTCCAGAGAATCTGACGCCCTTTTCTGGCCTCCACAGGTATTGTACACATGAAGCACATAGACTTACATGCAGACAAACATCCAAATGCATAAAATCATTAAACAAATCTTGCTTAAAAAGTGAGTAGGACAGCCGGGCGGTAGTGGTGCATGCCTTTAATCCTAGCACTCGGGAGGCAGAGGCAGGTGGATCTCTGTGAGTTCGAGGCCAGTCTGGTCTACAGAGCGAGATCCAGGACAGGCACCAAAACTACAGAGAAACCCTGTCTCGAAAAACCAAAAAAAAAAAGTGAGTAGGACAGCTGACCTGGTGGCATGTAGAGGGCATGAGTGCTCACACATACGCACTGGAGAAACTAGGAATGTAATCACGCAGGGTTGTCTTCTCAAAGGAGGAAATGAATACCTGTTTTCCACTGAGAAGGCTGACAGTAGATGCTGTTTAATGACCTGGTGACCTTTGCTTTCTGTAGAACCAGATCCCCAGAATGCTTATCCCAGACTCTCCCTCCTAGACCTTTATCTTTGTTTCTCGGTCACTAGAACCCACCCTTAGGGGAGATGTCACACGGACGTCATAGCCTGCTGACCCCTACACTATCTTCGTCAGAGACCACAGCAGATCCTGGGCCCTTAAGCTACAGAACCCATCTTTGTGGTGGAGGTCACACGTATTTCGCAAAAGAGTTTTGGTGTAGTCATTCCTTAAGCTTTGTTGTGCACATGGGACTGGGACAATTGTCACCAGGAAACTTTTTCAAAACTCTACTGTACTTAAATATGCCTGAAATAAACTGCCTGGGGCCAGACTCCGGAAGTCTGATCCAGCCCAGCTAACTAAGTCTTGCTGAACTGGATTTCCTTCTTGCCTCTGGAAGATGGCTTCTGTGCTGGCTGTGGCATTTGTAGGGACCCCCACAGTGGCGCACGCCTTTAATCCCAGCACTCAGGAGGCAGAGGCAGATGGACCTCTTGGAGAGGTAGCTCAATTGGTACACTGTTTACAGGTGGGTTGGTAGAGTGCCTGCCTAGCACACGTGAATCCCAGGGGTCCATCCACATCACTGCATAAATGGCTTGGTGGCACACACCTGTCACCCTGTCACTAGGGAGGTGAAGGTACGCAGATTACGAATTCAAGGTTATCCTCAGCTACACAGTGAGTTCGAGTCCAACCTGGGCTAAATGAGACCTTCTCTCAAAAGACAAAACAAAAAAACATTTTGAGTTTTGAGACAAAAAGCTAAAACACCAAACAGATGACAAGGGGTGGTGTGACTCCCAAGTGACCCCGGAGGCTCACCTCGAATGTCAAGCCGTGTTTCCGACAGAAGCTCTGCACTTCGGGGTAGGCAATGCACTGAAGGGCTTCTCGCTCTGCGTCCATATCTGCAAGGCACGACCAGGAGCGCATTAGAGAGAAGATTCCAGACGTCCCACCCACCCCCACTGAGCTCTGTGTCTCATCAGACCCCTGCAAGGTTGGACTCCTAAATAACAAAAAAATACGGAAGAAGAAGAAGAAAAAGAAGGAAAGAGGAGGAGGAGGAGGAGGAGGAGGAGGAGGAGGAGGAGGAGGAGGAGGAAGAAGAAGAAGAAGAAGAAGAAGAAGAAGAAGCCAACAAGATGGCTCAGCAGTAAAGGGGCTTGCTGCCAAGCCTGTCCACCTGCCCCCAGGACACAAGGAAGGAACTGATCTCGAAAGTTGTCCTCTGACCTCCACAGATGTGTGCTGTCCTGGTGCACACATAATTCTCTCCCCCAGAAAGACCACACACACAAAATTATTGAAATCTAAAAATTACATGGAGTCAAACCAGAGTCAAAGAAACCAGCCACTCTGGATCACATGGAGTCGCCTGTGTGAGCTCCACAAATATCACAGCCCAAGACACCCTCAGGCCCAGCCCAGCAGGATGAGCCCAGACTAAGTCAGGGCAGCCAGATAAAGTGAAGGCGTGTTGGGCAGGAAGCACGGTGGAAGGGGCCTCTGGACCCAGCACACAGGAGGCCCTTCACTGCTCTCCAGCTCCATGCGGTTGTGTAAAATAATGAAGTTTGTCCTCCTACCCAACGGGAGACAAATGGTTCGGTCACATTTGGATCATTATACTCTCTTGGACCCAGCACGATAGAGGCCCTGGGTTTCGCCCCTTGTACTGCAACAAAATAAGGAAACCCACCAAACACAGACAGTATTCTCAGCTAATTACAAGCGAAATAAACAAGGAGGTCACATGCAAGAACATGCTGATCCACTCCAGGCTCTGCTTCTAACACACTCAAGGATTATTTCCAGTTCCTCTGGAATGCAGCATGAACCAGGTGTGAGAGCCTCACACATGAGACAGGGGATGGAGCCACGCCCCCAGCCCCTCACTGGGGGAGTTTAGGCAGGATCTCCACCCCTGAGCCATGTCCCCAGCCCCTCACTGGGGATTCTAGGCGGGGCTCCACCCTGAGTCACGCCCCCAGCCCTTCACTGGGGATCCTAGGTAGGGTTCCACCCCTGAGCCACGCCCCCAGCCCCTCACTGGGGGATTCTAGACAGGGGCCCCACCCCTGAGCCACGCCCCCAGTCCCTCACTGGGGGATTCTAGACAGGGGCCCCACCCCTGAGCCACGCCCCCAGCTCCTCACTGGGGGATTCTAGACAGGGCTCCACCCCTGAGCCACGCCCCCAGCCCCTCACTGGGGACCCTAGGCAGTGGTTTTACCACAACCCAAAGTGAGTGACTCAAAATACATACTCAGATTCTGACTTGGGAGCTTTCCAGAATGGGAGTCTGGGATCTGTCTCCCACACACTTGTCCCTTTCCCAATCTGTCTTTTCAACTTTATAGGGTATTTGGATGTGCTCATAAAATTCTTATCAGATACGAAGTTCAGGCCCAGAGCCTTGCTAAGCATGAGGGACATGTCAAAAGGACACAGTGAAGTCTGAAATCAGGAGCTTGCACGTGACTCCATCATCTGAACTTTTCAGGCACATGCAGAGTGTGTTTGGGGACCTCAAGTTCAGTCCCCAGCACTAAGAAGCCAACAGATCAAAGGAATACATGCAATCCATGTGGCAGACAATAATGAATCAACAGTGCCATCAGCCACTTACCACTTAGCCATTACCAAAGAATTAAACAGGGCCATGCACACACCTTTAATCCCAGCACTTGGGAGGCAGAGGCCAGGTGGATCTCTGAGTTTAAGCCAGCCTGGTCTACAGAGTGAGTTCTGACGGCCAGGACTACACAGAGAAATCTTGTCTCAAAAAAACATTTTTTAAAAAAGTGAATAAATAAAATAAAATTGAATGGTAGAATATACTCCACATTGGAAGGAGAAACTGATAACACCCAAAGTGCCTGTCTTGTAGCAACTTGAGCAGTTTGAGGGTAAGCTTTATACTTGAAGACTCTCGTTTGTATCAAGGTGAGAAAATGGACCCTTATACATTGGTGCCCTATGGGGCACCATACTCAGTGACAGTGCTGTGTGCTCAGTGGTTCAGCCTGTAGCATGAAGCTGATTGTGACAGTAATTATATCATGGACCTTGGGAGCCAATGCAGACCAGGCGTTACATGTGTAGTTTTATTTAACGAGAAGAACACGGATGCAGCTGGATGCAGCTGGTACTGTCTCAAAGCTCTTAGCTTGGTCAGAGGGAGAACCAACACAATTTAAAGCATGGGGCTATTGAGATGGCCCATTGTGTGAAGGAGCTTGCCATCAAGCCTGAAGACGCAAGTTCAGTTCCTGGGACCCACTGTGGGAGGAGAGAAGACTCCTGAGAGCTGTCCTGTGTGCAAGGCTCGTGTGCACACCACACACACAAATAAATGTATAAAAACAAGGGAGGGTCTGGGAATGTAGCTCATTCGAAGAGTGCTTGCCTAGCATAAACTGGGTGTAGTCCCCAGAACAACAGCATCAAAAAAAAAAAAAAATGAATAGTCAAAAAAAGAAACGCTCGGGCAGGAGGTTAGGGGCGTGGCTCAGTAGAGCATTTGCGGGGCAGACATGAAGCCCCTGGTCTGCACATAAGTTCCCACCCTGGCTCTTGTCAAGCATGTGTGAGATGCTGGGTTCCTCCTCCAGCAACCGCCAGACGTACACAAGACAAAGCACAGAGTCGCGCACACAGGACATTCCTTGGGACCATTGGTTGCAATATCAGGCCACTCACAGCAACTGTATTCAACTGTTCATGTGATGGAGAAAAAAAGCAGAGGACCCAGGAGGACCCTTGACCATGGCTGCTATGGGGGTCACCAGCCCGTATCTATTCACTCACATCTCTTGGAGGACCCTATGAGACATGGCCGCCCGCCATCAAGAGTGTCCACTTGTCTCCTGTCCTTACCTGCGATGGCAGAGCTGATGAAGATGGCCACACTGCTGCTGGAAGAGGGTGCTGGTAGGGAGCCCGCCTGACCCTGGAGAAGCCGCTGGCGAGTGCCAGGGCTGAGGGGGCCCACACTCATGCTTCCCATCCACCTGGATGATTCTTCCCCAGGAAAGGGCCTGAGACCCATGGGCCTCACATCAGCGGCTGAGGAGCCCCCCTGGGAGGCTGGCCAGGCACGGCCATCCGGAAGAGGGGGCGTATCTCAGGCTCTGTGGCCCCTCGGTCACCCCATCATTCCTTCGGGGATGCCTGGATGCTGTCTTCCACTCTTTGAAGTGCTAACGGGATGCGGGACAGCGGCTTTCCCAGTGTTGGTGGATGTTGTTGCCTCCTTCAGGCACCAGAGTCTGCTTCCAGCTTCTCGTGGAAGCTTCAGTGGTTACCATAGCAACTATGGTTCGCAGCACTGGGCGCTGGAGCCCAGGGACCAGACAATCTTTCCAACACCTGGCTCCCTTGGGGCCTCTGTGTAAGTTGAGCCTGAGCCCAGGTGTGCAGAAGGAAGCCGAGGGTTTCTGGGAACCATGTGTAGCCCTGGCATTGGGTAGAGACTCCACTGCATGCCACCCTCTCTGTGCCTCTCCTAAGCCAGTGTTCATGTACCGTGAAAGTTACGCAAGATGATTGTCTGGAGCACTATGCTGCCCCAGAATGCGTCAATGTCTGCAGACATTTGTGGTTGTCGAAAACAGGAGTGCTAGGAACATCCAGTGAGTGGAAGGCTGGGGGCGTGGCTCAGGGGTGGAGCTCCTGCCTAGGATCCCCCAGTGAGGGGCTGGGGGCGTGGCTCAGGGGTGGAGCCCCGCCTAGAATCCCCAGTGAGGGGCTGGGGGCGTGGCTCAGGGGTGGAGCCCCTGCCTAGAATCCCCAGTGAGGGGCTGGGGGCGTGGCTCAGGGGTGGAGCCTCGCCTAGGATCCCCAGTGAGGGGCTGGGGGCGTGGCTCAGGGGTGGAGCCCCTGCCTAGAATCCCCCAGTGAGAGACTGGGGGCGTGGCTCAGGGTGGAGCCCCGCCTAGAATCCCCCAGTGAGGGGCTGGGGGCGTGGCTCAGGGGTGGAGCCCCGCCTAGAATCCCCCAGTGAAGGGCTGGGGGCGTGGCTCAGCGGTGGAGCCCTGCCTAGAATCCCCCAGTGAGGGGCTGGGGGTGTGGTTCAGGGACCTAGAATGCTTCAGTGATGGTGTGGATGGCTCAGATGTAGTCTGGTTTCTAGCCTGCATAAGACCTTAGACCAGAAGTTCTCTATCTGTGGGTCATGACCCCTTTGACAAACCTCTATCTCCAAAAAATAATTACATTCTGATTCATTTTGTCTTTTTTTTTCAGAGCTGAGGACTGAACCCAGGGCCTTGTGCTTGCTAGGCAAGCGCTCTACCACTGAGCTAAATCCCCAACCCCTTACATTCTGATTCATAACAGTAGAAAAATGATAGTTATGAAGCAGCAATGACAGTCATTTTATGGTTGGGGTCATCACAGCAGGAGGAGCCGTATTAAAGGGCCACAGCGTCACAGCGTTATCCGGAAGGCTGAGAAGCACCGTGAGAGACTGACTCCGTGGAGATGGGATAGGGAAGGAGAACGGAGATGAGGACAGGGAAGGGAGGGGATTTCCCTGGACGTCTCTAACTTTCCCCACCTCCCAGTCTCATCGATCCCAGTGACAGACAGGCACAGACTGAACCTGTGTGTCCGCTCGTGAGGCATGAGCACAGGCTCCTCCATTGTCTTCCTGGAACGTGGAAGTGTCCAGCATCCTGGTCCAGGCAACCGCCCTATCTTCTGTGAATTGAGAGCAACACCCCTCAGGACACCTGTTTTTCATAAGTGCTCTGTCAGGCAGCATCATGGGTCGACGGATGAATGCATGCCAATGTAGCCATGGCGACAGGAGTGCGCTAGGCACTGAGAACACATGAATTTGCAAGGCACCAAACACAGAGTGAGCGCTTGATGGGCACATATCTATAGATACAGATACGTGCACTATATTATGTTGTATGCTATTTATATGGAACATTTATATGTGCTAACGGAATGGCCTGGTGGCCCACACCTGTAACCACAGCACGTGGGGTGCTTGCCTAGCACACACCAGACCCTCACAGCCCTCAGCACTTCAAAACCAGGCATGGCAGTGCATGCCTGTGATACCATGAGTCAGAAGGTGGAGGCAGGAGGATCAGGAGTTCAAAGTCATCCTTACATACACGGTGAATTCAAGGTCAGTCAGGGCTACATGAGACTCTGTCTCATAAACACCAAGGGGGTGGGGGTGGGGGTGGGGGTGGGTGGTGCTCAGGATGTGGATGCTGGAGAAGCTCAACACCAGCCTGGGTTAGCATAGCATACTGAGGCCAGCCTGGACTACATGAGATCCTGCCTCAAAAAGGCAGAAGGTAGTAGGGAGAGGAAAAAGGGGGGAGGGGGAAGGGAGGGGGAGAGGGAGAAGAGGAAGAGAGTGGGGGAGAGGAAGAGGAGGAGGAGGGTCCATTCCTAGCTTAACCTCAGGGCCTTTGCACATCCTAAACCAAATCTGTGCAACTCACATTCTTTCCCATTTTCAAAGGAGAATTTCCATTCTCCTCTGAGAAGGTCTCCTGGAGGTCCTTGACTTGATGGGCCCTTTCAACCACCCCCTGTGGAATCCACCCTGTGTCTGTGCGGTACTCACCCTCAGCTCACACATCTCTCCATTTTCAGTGTCTGTTCCCCGAGGAATGTGGGTCCCACAGACGCATGCCTGGCTCTCAGTAAGGAACTCTGAAGAATCTGTGCCTCAGTGGGTCCTTGGGCAGCCACCCATCGTTTTGGCCCCTGTGTGTTACCCAGACACCTCAGCAAGAGTTGGGGGGGGGTCTTCCGCAAGCTCAGCGCCTGCTCCAGGCTCCCCCCGGGGACACTAGCTCCCTCTTGTTTGCAGGCAGGGCACCAACTCCGAAGTCCCCGGGAGAAGGAAGTTGCCTGGGCCCAGAGCCACCATGAAAACAAGGCTCTGCCTTTCCTGGTAACATTTGACTTAGGTATTTTCTGGTCACCCCACCGAGTTCTCCCAGCAACTGGCATAAAGGAAAGGAACTGGCTGAGGAGCAGCCTGGGCTGGGCGCCTGGCCAGGCCCGTGGTTAACTGTTGTGTGCCAGGCTTGACGGCTCTCAGCAGCGTGTGCCGTCTATTGCGGGGGGCGGTGCAGGCTGCTGGCTGGTTTGCATCTGTCACCAACACCATGAGGGGAGGCTGTGATCCTATCCCAGGGCTGCAGGACATGTGCTCCAGGGGCTGGAAAGAGGGTCAGATGATAAGAACGATTGCTGCTCTTCCTGAGGACCCAAGTTCAGTACCTAGCACCCACATCAGGTGTGGCTCGTGGCCAACTGTACCTCCATCACCTTCTTCTGGTCTCTGGGCACCGCGGGAGCCTATGCAACGTGGGTTCTGGAGGTCTCAAACTCAAGTTATCAGGTCTTACTAGGCAGCCCTGATGGGGTGACATTTGGGGCTGGGATATTCTTTGCTGAGCAATGCAGGACGTGGAATAGTCAGGGTTTCCGTTGCTGTGATGAAACTTTGTGACCAAAAGCAACTTTGGGAGGAAAGGGTTTATTTTAGCTTACGTTTCCAAGTCACAATCCATCACTGAGGGGACTCAAGGCAGGAGCTGCTTCAAGGGGTGCTGCTTCTGGCTTGCTCCCATGGCTTGCTCAGCCTGCTTCCTTAGACATCCCAGGACCACATGCCCAGGGATGGAAGAGGCCACAGTGAGCTGGGCCCTCCCCCATCAATCACTAACTAAGAAAATATAGCTGTCTAATTGGACTTAAGGCCCACTCAACAGGAGGGAAATTGTGCCTACTACTGGAATTCTAGCCAGTTTCTCAGGGCTGGTGATGTCTGGACTGCGGGGGTTTGAATAGGAATTGAAAGGGTGATAAACGGCACTGGTGGTATGGCACTGGTTACCCGTGGAAAGGTCCCGGTCATGACAGAACCCAGTGTTAGTTTTCAGAGCTTTATTAGGAGGGAAAGGGAGGAGGGGAAAGAGGAGAGCCAGGCCTGGAGAGAGAGAAAGGTGGCGGGGAGGGAGCAGAGAGAGCGTGGGGTCTGCATCCGGCTTTTTTTTATTAATTTTTGTTTTTTTTATTATGTAGTCACCAGCCCACATTGATGACGTAAGACACAAGACCCCGAACTACACATGTCCAGGAGTCAGGGCAGGATCCGAACAGGAATGACCCCATAGATTCATGAGTGTTTGTCCCATAGAGAATGGCACTATTAGGAGGTGTGGCCTCGTTGGAGTAGGTGTGGCCTCATTGGAGTAGGTGTGGCCTCGTTGGAGTAGGTGTGGCCTCATTGGAGTAGGTGTGGCCTCGTTGGAGTAGGTGTGGCCTCATTGGAGTAGGTGTGGCCTCATTGGAGTAGGTGTGGCCTCGTTGGAGGAAGCATGGCATATGTAACTTCCAGCTACGTATGTCACTGCAGAGGCGGGGTTTGAGGTCTCATATGCTCAAGCTATGCCCAGTGTGATACACATTCTCCTTCTGCTGCCTGAGGATCAAGATGTAGGACACTCAGCTCCAGCATCCTGTCTGCCGCACAGTGTCATGCCCCACCATGATGATAATGGACTGAATCTCTGAAACTGTAAGCCAGCCCCAATTAAATGTTTTCCTTGCTGTGGTCATGGTGTCTCTTCACAGCAATAGAAACCCTAACTAAGACAGAGGCCTTAGAAAAGAATCACCTAGTGCCACTATGCATGGTGAGCACGGGTCCTTACTAATTCTACATCTCATCCTCAGACACACAGATGAGTGCACCCCTCGTATGGAAGCCTCTTCACGCCAAACGGAGCCCATCACAGCAAGCCACAGCTGCACAGCCCCAGTGGGTACACCCTCATCCCAGCTCCTGTGTCTATGGCTCAGGGAACATCTGCTTAGTGGGGACGGGAAGATCGTGAGAGCCAGAATGCCAGGAAGTCCGCGGAGAAGCGGTCTCCCTAGGAACGGCTATGTAAACAAGACGGCGACAATATCAGTGGCCATCCAATCTGGGAGGGAGAAAATCTCACAGGGTCCACCCTAGACGAAGAACTACAGGCAGCTAAAGACAGCTGGGAGGGGAGAATCAGCCTCTCCCAGGCACGAGACCTTCACTGGTTGTCCAATGCGCAGTGGTCCGCTCTGAAACCATACACACAGACAACACCAACAGGCTCAGCAGGTTGTATTTATGTAAGTGTTCACACATGCACGTGTGTAACAGTACTAATCAAAGGAGAGGAGACTCTCAACTTGGGAGTTGGGGAGTCACAGGGATTCAAGACAGGCACCTGGGAAGGGCTGGAGGGACGAAAGGAAGGGAAAGAGATATAACTAGATTTCAATTTAAAACGTTTTTGAGAAAGAAAACACCCCGCAAGTTTGGCCAGGTGGGTCTCATGGTGGAATCTTCTCCACCGAGGTTCCTCTTCCCAGATGACTGTGGCTTCTGCTGAGCTGACAAAAAAACAACAACAACAACAACCACCACCGCCCGGCACAACAACCAAAAACAAAAAGAAAAAACCCAACAAAACCAACCAGGCTAAGCAGCATGCCAGGCTTCTGCCTGGTAGACGACCCTGGCCCCTCCTGACCTAAGACCGCCACAAAGGAATTCCAACACCGCCAGGGTCCCTGCAGGAGCACACGCCCATCAGGGAGGGTACAGCACAATGTGTCCACGTGATTTTTAGTTGCGATTTTATTTTTCTTGGGAAGTGCTGGGGAGTGGAACACAGGCACCATGAGGACTTGGTAGGTGCTGAAGAATGGGCGTCCCTTTATCCTAAGGGAGAATCATACACACACATTCGTATAGAATATATGACACACTAGCACATGCAACATATAATATCTCATACATGTAACATACAACACATTCTGTATTGCATATGTATCATGTAATATATTGTACACATATGGCATATAATGTATCCCACATACCTAATATATGATTTATGTTATATACCTATAACACAAAATAATATCATGTGTACAATAAGTTACATACATACAATGTAATATGTATTGCACACACGTGACATATGTTATAGAAGCATTGTAGGCATCTAACATAACATCTGTGTTATGTGTGTGCTATATGATAGACATATATTACATACTACTTCATGCATGTATAACTATATAATATATTATAATTATATACATATAATAATGTGTTGTGTGTTATTTAGTAAATATGTTGGATATTACATGTACATATATTCATGCATACATGTGTGCAATTTGAACTACATATCATATGTATATAATGTAGATTTTACATTTGTAGCATATATTACTCATTAGTTGTGTATATTATATACATCATACATACAATACATAACACATATACATATAATACGCAATATACATGTAATATACTTATGATAGATATTATAGCCATGAAATATACATCAGTATAGTATTGTAGATAACACATTTATTTGTTTTGGGGATTTTTGGTGGTTTTTTTTTTTTTTTTTTTTGACACAGGGTCTATGTAGCCCTGGCTGTCCTGGGAATCACTCTGTAGGCCAGGCTGGCGTCTGATTCAGAGATCAGCCTGCCTCTGCCTCCTGACTGCTGGGATTAAAGGCATGTGCACATATTTTAGTTGCTCATGCTTGAGACAGGGTCCTGCAGCCTTGAACTCCTCACCCTCCTGCCTCTGCCCGGCTGCTGGACCTCAGGTGAGTAGCATGTGGGAGCCATCAGGTCTCTGGTCTCACCGATGCTTACCCAAGCACTGGGCTCCAGGGGATTCCTGCCTTGGCCGCCTCCCTAAGCCTGACACACCCCCACCCCCCACCCCCGTGTCGTGGGGAGAGAGGGATCCAGGCTGAGTGACGGCAAGGCACAGAAGGGTGCAGAGCGGGACAGCGGCGCCCTCTGGCGGTCGGTACGGGAAATGCGCGTGCATGGGCGAAGCTCCCTGTCCCAGAGCCCACTGAGGTTCAGAAGAAAAAGGCCACCGCCGGGCTTGCACATTTGAGGGGATGATGGACTTCAGCTGCCCCCAGAAAACCCAAGGCAGAGCGTGGTTGAGATCGCCTTTAATACAAGCACTCGACAGGCAGAGATAAGCGGATCTCTGTGAGTTCAAAGACAGCCTAGTCTATATAGTGAGACCCTGCCTCAAAAAAATAAAATTTAAAAATCAGCTGGTGTTAGCACAGGCACTAAGATCAACGACTAATAAATGGGACCTCAGAAAAACCGAGAAACTTTTACACAGAAAGGACAAGGTCATTTGGACAAAACAGCAGCCTATGGAATGGGAGAAGATCCAAAATGTATAAAGAACAAAAAACTATATATCAAGAAAACAAATAATCCAATTAAAAAATCTGTACATATCTAAACAGAGAATTGTCAATAGAGGAATCTCAAATGGCCAAGAAACACTTAAAGAAATGTTCAACATCCTTAGTCATCAGGGAAATGCAAATAAAAAAGACTCTGAGATTCCGTCTTACACCTGTCAGAATGGCTAAGATCAATAACACAAGTGACAGCTCATGCTGCTGAGGATGTGAAGCAAGGGGAACACTCCTCCACTGCCGGTGGGAGTGCAAACTTGTATGTACAGCCACTTTGGAAATCAATATGGCATTTTCTCAGGAAATTGGGAATCAGTCTACCTCAACACCCAGCTACACCACTCTTGGGCAGTTACCCCAAGGATGCTCCATCCTACCACAGGGCACCTGTTCAACTCTGTTCATAGCAGCTTTATTCATTATAGCCAGAACCTGGACACAACCTAGACACCCCTCAACTGAAGAATGGATAAAGAAAATGTGGTATGTTTACACAATGGAGTACTACTCAGCAGTAAAAAACAACAACAGCATGAAATTTGCAGGCAAATGGGTGGAACTAGAAAATATCATCCTGAGTGCGGTAACCCAGACACAGAAGGACAAACATGGCATGTATTTGTTATATGTGGACATTTGCTGTTAAGTCAATGATAATCAAGCTACAATCC